CCACACCCCACCACACCCACGGGTGGGCTTTTCTACCCACAGCCCCACTCAGTTCCACCCGCGTACGGGTTTGCCCGCCCACAAACGTGCCGGGCGTGCTTGTTTCAAAGGCCTAACGACATGGCCGGCGACTTGTAATATAGATACATTTGTAATGATCTTGATGGACATGGCAACAACTACAGCAAGTTTGAAATAGAAGGTCAACAATCGTCTAGCATAAGTACTCTAGGAAAGGGACCAGAATTTTTTTCGAGTACATGACAGACCGAAATCATTTTTCGAAGGAAGTACTTCTGATAAGCTTCTTGCAGTTCGCGCTGATGCTTGTCTTTCATGCCGTCTAAATGTTCTATCCGCTGGTTCGTATTTTGCATCGTCAATTTCCATGTAAGGACCTCCTTCTCCAGCTCTTCAGCCATCCGCTCATGCGCCGTAACCATCTCGATCTGCTTTTTGCTGCGGTCATCACCTTGCGAAACCTGTTTCTCAATGAATTGTTACGTCATTTGGATTTGGTGTGTCCAACTGCAAGGATAGAAGGATAAGCAAAAGAGCTCGACGTTCGTTTAACATCTCTGGCGCAACACTTACTTTTTCACAAAAGGCCAAATTCAATGTTGGGAACAAGTCAAAGTTCAAGAGTAATTTTCAGTATTTTCTTACGTTTTTCGTCAAAATATCTCTTTCTCTGGTAATGTCGCTGGTGTACTTTTGGTCATTATCGGCTTGTTTCTGACATGCCGCTACATCCTGCTTCAAACCTGCGACTTCAGCCTTCAGCTCAGCTATTATTCCCTCTTCCACCTTACGGTCCTCTGCAAGCTGACGTCGGAATGCGTTCATTAGACAAAGTTAAGTATGTCTATGACATTGCTTGACTGCCTGTTGGAATCTAAAAAGCCTTTCACTTCCCAATTGAATCGGATTTAAACGAGATTAATAAAGTTCAACTGAATATTAGTCGGGGATCCTCATATCTAATCTTGCCCATCATAATTCTAGTTCGTTGCACTCCTCTTCAGCGGCTTTACGCTTTCGTCGGAAATAGGACCTCTCCCGGTTGATCTCCTCTATACTGCTCTCGTGTTTAGCGGCTTCCTCTCGTAGTTTTGCGCACATCATTTGCTCCTCGCCCGTCAATTTCCGCCGCTTCTTTATCTCATCCTCCAATTTATTCTGCTTGTTATACCCTGAGAGAACCAGAGAAAGTGATAAATTCTGGAAAAGTACTAGCTCGATCATACTCTTACCGTGTGTAAGTCAAAACATCATGAGAATCAAGCGTCACTAGGAACGAGAGAAGAAGGCTGTATCCTTAAAAAGGGAATTGCTAACTTCTACCTTAGGAGGTAGCTAACTACCTTCCCCAACTTTATCGCTCTCTGCTTTGACTCTCGCCTCGAGTCCTTGCATTGCCGCCTTTTGCTCGTCTAGGGAGAGCTTGTTTCCGTTTATCTCTTTTGTCGTCTCGTCTATCTTGACCCTGACTGTTTGTAACTCTTCGTTTAACTCGTGCTTTCTCTTCTGCTCATCTTCGCCGGCCGCTCTTCTCCTCGCCATCTCCTGCTGGAGTCGCAAAACTTCCGCACCTTGATTCTGCAGCTCTAATTGCGCGCGCTCTGTTTTCTCCTGAAAATGATATTACATCATTCATCAAGTGAAAGAACTCAAACGTCAACACATCACAATAAGTAGAAGACTTTGTAGCTACTCGAACTCGATTAAGACGAGACACAGATTTCAAAATACCAACAAGACTATGCAAATCGTAGAATTCTTCAATAGGAAGACACGATTGAGAGTGGCAAAAATGTACCTGAAACAACTTCTGTGTTAGTCAAGCGTAGTGACACGAACGTGAAAGTTCTGTTCAGTGCAAAAAACATCAAAATATTTCTGAAAGTGCTCAACTGTAAGATCAGTGAGGCAATGACGACGTTGTACCTGAAACTCCATTTTCCCAAACTGCAGGTTGTTGACCTGCGTTTGCAAAAGGTCACGTGTTTTCGTCAAGTCAACCTTGTCTTGCGACAGCTCTATCGTCACTTGTTCTTGGTTCACGCTTTTTGCTGCACCTGGGGCGGCTTGGGGAAAAGATATCTGTCTACTTTCATCTTGTTCATTGCTTTGGCTAGAAGTATACAAAGGCTGAACGGAAACAAAAGCGCGACCACTAGGTAAGAAGGGTAAATTTATTACATCAAGGTGTTTACTCCAGAAAAATTATGGATTAAATATGCGAAGTAGGTACAATGCACTATCAAGCAACAAAACAAAACTAATTTCTACCTTGCTCCACTATTCGACTCAACTTGTCCGCTTCTCCCTTCAAGACCTGAATTGATTCTGTGGCCCGGGTCTCCTTCTCCTTCTGCGTCTCCACCGTCCGCCATGCTCGCTCTACCTCTTTTTTTAATGCCGTTATTCTCTTTTGATCCTCATGCGAAAGTTTCAGCGCAGTTTGAACCTGATGTGGAGAGGGAGCAGGAGAGGACGTACGAAACGCGTACGCAGGAAAACGACAGATCTGCTCTGAGTCAAATTGAAGGACCAACGTTCATCATCTCCTTACTAAAAGGACTAGGCAAGAAGCAAAGTTGACTCGGAGATGAAAGATTGAGTAGTTACTTACACCTACAACTAGTACACCATCAATAATATCGTTCCTTTTATTTTTTGAATTTTCTTGAAGTACAACTAGCCGTACTGTAGCAAACTCTAATCAAAAATCCGAAATCAAAATACTTTGAGCGCATTCTGAACGATTTCTTGGTTGAGCGCCTTGCATTTCCCGATGAGTTTTTTCTCAGAGTCGTGTGAACGAACCAGTTCTGCATGTAGTTTTTCATATTCTACACGAAAAGCCTCTAGTGCTTGGTCTCCGCTCAACTCTTCCATCAATTCCTGAAAGTCCTTGCCCAGCTGATCAAAGGCCTCTGCCGCGATGGCGGGCTCCAGCTCCTGACCCTTCTTCGCGCGAGACATCTTGGTCCTCGGATTTTGGTACTACGAGGTAGCGGAAGAAGAAGATGGTAGGGCCTCGTGGCTCTGGCTACTAGGGCCTTGTAGTTAATAGACAGAAGAAGAAGATGTTCTACCTCTTACTGAAGTGCCTTGTAGGTACTAGGAAGCAGAAGATGGGAGAAAAAAGATGAAGAAGACGACGGAGTAGTTGAGGTGGTGGGAGTAGCAGTAGTGCGTGCAGAAACTGTAAAACCGGGATCATATACCATCGGTGTAGAGATTCGAGCAACTTGCTCTTCCGCGTTGCCTATTTCACATCAACGTGTACGCAATAGCAATGTTGAAGGAGCGACTTCTCAGGCGTACGCGTTGAGGAGAAGAGACGCTCGTCCTACCAGCTACGAATAAGTTCCTGCCTTGACCAAGTACCTCTCGATTAGGCTTGCGAAGCGACTAGCTGCACTAGTATGACAACACGGCAAGGTCTTTTACTCTTCCTCAAAAATCGTCAAGGTATCAATTTGTGCACATGGTATTCTGCCCGATTAGTAAAGTGTTTCCTATTCTTGATGTTGAGCCGATAAGTTCGCTGAGCAGGGACTGATCTAATAATATCCGAACTAGTATTAAGTAAAAGTTTCCCTTCCATACCTTGTCGTCCTCGTCGACCTTCGCCAGCCGCGTGAGGGGGAGCGATGTCTTCAACTACCAAGGTCGCCACCTACGAACAAATCTCCTGATTGATGTCCAGTTCTCTCCACTTCACCGATCTCCTTGTCTATAGCATCGAATCAACACAAGATGGCGCTCCAGGTTGGGACATGAATCGTACCGAGACAATACGCACAGCGGAAGAAAACCTCGAGCGAAGAAGATGGAGACCAACCCAGATTGGTCACAAGGCTCTCTGCTCGGATTCGACCATACGGCTTTCTAGTCGCGCTCCTCTGCTCATTGGAAAGATAGATCGTCCACGAAACAGCACACTCCTGCTTACGCTGCAGAACGAGACCTGTCCGGTTTAACCATAGTAGAAACCTTCCACTAAAAATCGGTGAATGGGTGGACAGCGCAACGGCCGAGAAAGAAGCGAGAAAGCACGACTGTGTGGGTAAGGCGTTGCCTCGGATAAGAACCCCCTTCAGAGAGTTCTTTCGGTGACTTTCTGGGTACGGTATTCGTCGTCTATATGCCACGCACGCGCTGCAGTGCGTAGCGGCTTTATATGGCTGCAGAACGTCCCCACCGGTCGTCTCTTTCTCCACAAAGGAAAAGTAGTACTTATTCTGAAACACGCGGTGCGGTACTCCACAAACCCTCAGCTCGGGGAATACAAGAGACTCCGAGCCTAGTGCTTCCAATCACGCTAAAGACGATCTGCAAACGCTGTCTCGCTGCTTTTTCCGTATCGTTCGTGAGCACAGCTACACATCCGCCTGCCCATGACCGCGCGACGTCGTTTCGCGGAAAAGGGCGCTTCTCTACGAAGCTGCGATGATCATCTACTCTCCGAAACACATTCACCCTTTACAATCTGTCTTAGCTACTAGTACGCAAGGGAGTAAAATCAATTCGAGAGGCTCCCACCGGTCGGCGCTTCTCTTTCTACTATACTCTACGCCTGTCTTTGGGGATTTTGGATTCCTTCTGCTGATTTCGGCAGATGACTTTTGCTTTTCCGAACTTTGACTTCTCTCCTTCTTGGCCCATTATATTTTTCCACTTTTTTTCCTATATTTGTAACCAATATTCTTTGCATTGAACAGGGGCCGAATTTGCATAACCGATTTTAGCAAACACTCGCCCTGCTCGATTACGAAGAATCAATCACCCTCACATACTGCACGTCAGTGCGTAAATCAACAAGAATGACGTGTACCGAACATTCCATCATTGAATTATATAGCTGTGCGAATCAAAGGTATTACTTCGCAAATTGTTAACAAATAGCTCATGACGATGATGGAATATTTTGGGGAGCTTTTGGAAAGACTCTTCTTACTTACTTTCATTTCGTTTATCAATAGTTCGTTTTCGAGGAAAGACACTGTGCAGGGCTTCACAAAGTATATCATAATTCCGGAGAATGCCGATCTCCAGGGGGGGTCTTTGAATTTTTACAGGAACCTTAAAGGTAATCATAGAGGTAGCCTTTCTTCTAGGAATCTTCAGTCCTCACATAAATCCATATCATAAACGTAGTTCATGGTGATATTTATTGCCCACGAGTATCATGCATCACGATAGTTGTTTTACTTAGCATTTACTACTTAACCTACTACTCGCGCAGATGCTAGACCGCATTGTTTTCTACTGATACTTACTACTAAAACTGGCATCGACTTGAGGAAGAAATCAAAATGAAAGTTCTCAGTATCATATCTCTACTCTACCACTTTACGCATTTGCTTTTAACTGAAGCATTTTTAGACTTAGTTGACCGATAACCTGATAGCGAAGTGAGATACTTTGTTATTGTTTTTTTCTCAAAAAAGTTCTGCAATACATTTGGTAAATAGCACTTTTACCTAAAAGGACTAAGTTGACCATGCAGCATAAGTAATAATGAACCAACGCCAATTACATGGTCTATATTTATCTCTAAAAAATAATGCATACACATCTGGTATCCTTTCTCTGAAGTTACTTAATAGTGCTGTGTCCATACGCATAGTACAGTATCTACCTAAGTACTTTAGTGTTCGTTGGTTCTTTTTCTTCGGAAATAATGATTGACCATCTTATCGTGTTAGGTCTTCGTTTGATCATCGTCCATTTTGTAAGATACGACTCAGCAAACTACCTTTCGTAGCTGAGTCCGAAGAAACGGCGAGCTTTTTTGTGGTCGTTGTACTTCTTCTTTTGTGTGTCGCAATCAACGTCTGTGTTTCGCAACCCTCGTCTGGTGACCCCTCCTGTTCAGGCTCTTCTTCTTCATCCGGTTCACCGTCTTCTTGAAGCAGGCGCTCCGTCTGCTTGCGGTCGGGGATGAGTACGGGGATGAGCGCGATTGTGAACAGTGGCAAAACACAGCTGATCAGTGCGGCCAACCAGAGATTCTCGAATTGTGCGCTCTCGTTTTTAGCGCCCGAAGGACGGCAGCCAAGCTCCTCCAGTACCCAGGCGCCCAGATAGTCGCTGATCGTATTGCCGAGGTTGCTGCAGCCGGCGAGTAAAGCGTACAGCGTTGCCTCCAAATTCTTCGGCACCAACTGACTCATCAACACCACGGCAGGCATCCAGTTCCAATTCCCGATCAGAGACCCGGAAACGGTGCCACTCAGCACAAACAGGTGGTCGCTGATCCCCCACTTCACGTTCTGTCGCGTGAACACGAAGATGTCAAGCAGACCCAAAATGGCGCCGAGGCAGTTCGTCAGCATGAACAATGTGCGGTAACTGTAATCTTTGAGGAACCGGTTGTAGAACAACAGCGACAACAAACTGCAAATTGTGCCCACTGTACCAAGAACAGTCATGAAGAAAGTTGGTGAAAAGTGTGGTCCTTCTGGATACTGCGTCGCGTCGTTCGTGAAAAAATAAAAGCTCGCCCCTCCAATGCCGATGCCAAGAGAGCCTTGCAGAAGAAAGAACGCATTCACCTGTTGGTTGTTGTACAAGATTATCTCATCTCCTTCATGCATAATTCAATAAATACGACACTAAATCAGGATTGTCGCAATTCGTCTGATCTCTTACCAGCACCATAGCAAGTCGTAGAGACAAACCTTATCTATATCACTTCCCCAGCGGCAAGCCCCTGCATCTGCTGCCGCTTATGCACCCGGCGATTTTGCACGCCACCAATGGCAAGGGGAGCGCGGGTCCCCATGCCCCAGCTTCAGAATCTTGCCACCGCTGCCACCGGGGGGGCCGCGCTGGGTCGCGAAGGGTAAACCAGTACACCACACATTGGAAGGAGCGCGGAGGCTACCCACTTTCGGTGGGCAGTTTTGGCAGCCTCCGCCCCCGAAACACGCCCCCGCCTCTGAAGTAACGCTAAAATTCTGGCAGTTGCCCCTGCCCTAGAATTGCACCAAGGTCCGCAGCATGGGACTGGCGGCAAGGTGGTCTTTTTATCGTCACAAAGCCAAACGCAAGCGCTACGTACCAGCCCGCCGGCGCAAATGCCGGCCCGCCCCAAGTCAAGTGTGAGCCGCAAGCCATGCCCTCGCGGAGAAAGTGCGCAGCGCCACCCCTGTCCGCCTTGGCCTCCTCGGTAACACCAGGCGCGGCGCCGCCCAAGTCCCAACGCGTGGAGCGAAGAAGTCAAGCACTTACACAACCAGCCCGCAGAGGCGGAGGACTGCACCCGAAACCAGCGCAGCTGCGTTGTTATCCGCCCCACTTCCTTGCAGAACCAACGGCGCGCGCAATGAATCACCCGAAAGCCAGCAGACGGGTAAGCCATCAGCGGAGGGCAAAGCCCTCAGATGAGTGCCAAACGGCGGACCTAATAAGACGCGCGAAAGCGTGCGCAAGAATAACGCGAACCGAAGCACTTGCGGGCACATCCGCGCGCGCGCCGCCTCGCTCCCTCTGCAGACAAGGAGACCAGAGGCGGCTCCGCGTCAGGGTCTGCGGTTTCTTCTGGGGCCCGGCGCATCTCCTGCCGACAGAGCGGGCGGCGGGCGCGCTCGTTTGCATTCTTCCAGCCGGGGCGAAGCTCTTGGCGGAATTTGTGACCGCGAGCGAGGGCGGCTGGGCCCTCGGATTCCTGTAGAGGCTCGAAAAAGCGGCAGGCTTTCCATCAGGGAAATGATGGACAGCGTAGATAGAGGCGCTAGCTGTTGCGTGGTCGCTTTCGATCTGGTTCATCAGATTGCGCTTGCTCAGGCAGCTGCTGCTCTGAGTCAGCACCCACCACGCTGCGCTTGCTCGAACATATTCCCAAAGTCTTCGGCCCCTCCTTCTAGGTCGCTGATGTAGCGCATGGGGCCTGCCTCGGTGTGATGCTGGTTCTTGGTCCTAGTTTCGAGGGTACTGATTTCCTTTCTTTTCTAGTCGCTTGCACTTGTCTGCCCAGTAGTCTGCTTTGGGCTCGAATATTTAACCGAGCTCGGCGCGGTATCTCGGCCACTGCGTGTTCCCTGTGCGAGAGCTGTATGCCGGTGGCGCTGAACATGCTCTCGACATATTATATCCTTAAAGCCAATCAGCTTTAGTTACTTGTAAGCCTATGTAGGCCATGTCCATGGCTAAGATGAAAGTAGTAACTTCTTCTATTTCCATCTACTCGATGATCTTCGCGCTCATTGGTAAAAAAATAGGCTGGATCAAGTAAGATTTGAATAGATACCGCTGCTATTTCCGGCCTTAGAACTAGCGAAAATGCGATCAGCATCACGATGAAGACCACGAGCGCGGTCACGGCGTGTACTCGTACACTCTGGCACAGCGTGCCAGTGACCGTCATAGCCAGTGTTCCGAGGGTTACGAGACCACAGAGTGCAAAAACCTCTGCGTTTTCCCGTACAAGCCGTCGACGCCGTTCTCGCTGCCTCGTTTGCTCTTCAACAGTCGAGGGGATACGTTCTTCCCCCAGATAATTGTGGTACACCGGAAGAAGCACGAACGCTGCCACCGGCAACAGGAAGAGGTAAGGCATTTTGGGCCCCAGATATTCCACGCAGGGTCCCACAAGCAGCAAAGCCAGCATCCCGCAGATGTCGAGGCCGCCGATTAAATTAGCGAATTTCAACATCTACACTGACTTCTGTCATTCAACTCCGGGAAAAATTCAGAACAATGACTACAATTGAGTCAACATTTTTCTTGCCTGCATTGGCGTCAATCATTTTGACTTTTTCTTGACCCCTTCAAAGCTTACTTATGGTGTGAATAATGGGACAGACTAAAACAACTACGAGAAAACTACAACAGATGTCTCGAGCAGAGTCTTCCAGCGACCATTGACGCAAGCCTTTATCAAACATGATAGGATAGAGGCTGGGATGTCTCTCGACAACCTACAAACAAACGCCTTAACAACGAACGTCATGAGGTCCGGACCGTGAGCGGGAGAGCGTTTTAGGGCTTCGCTATACTTTGCCTCAGTAAGTAAGTCGCACACACTGCGCTGCAGCGAGACGCAGAAGAATAGCATCACAGCAGCGCGCACGGGCAAAGATTCCTGTGGAACGAGGGCAAGCAGCGCTAGCGACACAACGCCCAACAGAGACGCGCCGATGATATACGGTCGTTTGTGAAACCCATAGAGCGGAACTAGATCGGACAAAAGTCCAAACAACGGCTTTAATGACCAAGGCAACGATGAGACACCCATGAATATCTGAACCTGGGATATATTCCATAAAAATTGCGATGTGAGTGAGGGTAAATCAGAAAAACGTTTCATTTTCACTTCAGGATGGAAGTAAACATCAGCTCACTCTTGAGTATCTACTCTTGTATTGTATTTACCAAGGACGCTTCGTACTGCGCAAGATGCATCACCGTGAATAAACCCCCAACAAGATGAAAGTGAGTCCAAATGTGAATCCCCTTGAGAAGTGCCAGTGAATACAAATGGTAAAAAAGACTCTATTCCTATTGATTATAGAGGAGTACTGGTCTCTAGGGATACCTGAGGTCCGCTGACTTGATAGTTTCGGTAGATGAAGCGCTCAGGTTGCGCAACAAAAGTTCCCGCGAAACCCTTGAGTAAATGCTGTGACGCGAAAAGCATGACCAACAGTTTGTAACCAAACATTGCTTTGAGGTGCAAAATCCATCTCAAGAAAGGCACTCGCTGGGCTACTTCGAAGGAGGTTCCGCTTGTTTTTCCCGTAGTTGTCATAATATCATGTGTATCTTCGTCGGTACTAGAGTACGCCCGCTTCTGGACTTCTCCTGTCATGAGCCTTTTGCTGGGGACTGGAGAAGAAGAAACACACACAGCAACGGCCGCGGTTGTGCAATCATCCACCTGGTGCTCGTTTGGTTTCCAATCTGCCCAAGCCGACTCCTGCTCAGGTTGCTCTCTTCTACCTTGAAGATGTTGAGCTACCTCTTGCGGATGATGGTGACCAAGCTCATCATGATGGTGGTCATTATGACAATGAGATACCCAGTGGTCCGAAGACGACTGCTTTCCTATATCATCTCGCGGACGCGACGCCTCTTGCTCTTCTGCAGACGGCTGGAGCACCAAGTAAGAAGGCTTTCGGCCGTTTGGCTGATGATACATTGCTGACGAGCCTAGTATTAGCGCTCACATCAATTCGTCTTCATCTTCTAAAGTCATTTCTTTGATCCTAAGCGGAAAACAACAAGTTAGAGATCCTGTCCGTGTCCTCTATGAAGATGAATCAGAATTAATATATTGAGCCTTAACGCCGTTAACGGTTCAGTCTCTGACGCATTACTAGGAGTAGAACCACTGGGCGGTAGATCAAGCTGCGCTAGACTGTTCACAATGGTACGCAGCGCCGCTGCCTGGGGCACTGCCTGGCTCTGGAGAATCCTTTCCCCGCCAGGGACCGGCGCTAGAGATCTTCTACTTCCCGACAAAAGCCCAAGCCTTGCACGCCCTGCCTGAGTGCGCGTCCCGAACTGCAGGTCCTTCTTGTTATCCCCTGCGGTCTCTCTTGCGGTGGCAGGCATTCTTCCAGTACTTGAAATCAAGTCATGAATGTGGATGGTGCCAGCTACAACCTTGGAAGATACCTGCTCTGTTACTAATCAAAAACTAAACGAAAACTTTTCTCTGCAAGCACTTCCGTTATAATTCAATTGTGGACGATTGGCCACTATGGATCGAAGTGCGCTATATGAACGAGGACAAAATTCGAATGTACTCCTTCTGAGTCAGAGTTTGCAGCAGCCACATTTTACGAGATTTGTCGACACGACGAAAACGTATTCGCTCTTTCTTGACAACCAGTCTCAAGTGGGACCCACATCAGCCCTACGCCTCAATCGCAGGATCTGCAGCATGTGTGATCGAACGGCCCACCGCTGCTGTCGAGACGACACTTTCGGTTATCAGAAGGCGGTCGGGTGAACGTTTGACGTAAAAGATTTACATATGTCAGCGCGAAGGTCAAACTTTTCTCCTTCCAAGGTTTTTTGGACACGTCTACCTGACAACTCATTGGTTCACTTTTCTTGTTCCCTCAGGGCAACCTCGTGGGTACTACCCCTCTTGATGTTCAGGTCAGATAATTCGAGTCCAGACAAGAATAATATCAACAACTTATGACTTACTGCACAATAGAGTATTTCAGACCATAAGACCTCGCTCCTCGCCCTGCAGTTTATACTAGCGCTTTGCAGATAATGCACATACATGCGATCAAAGAATCAATACAATTCGGCGGTCTACGCACCGCGTGCTCGCGATAATTTCACAAGGAGGCTACATTTTTGATTTGATTTGATTTATTGATATCGACGAATTACTATCTAGTACATAATTAAGTTATACGCGAGAATACATACACCCAGAAGTAGACCAGTCAAATAATGGATACATGCAACAGTTGGAGACATAAACACCTCTACGAATATTTGATGCGTGCTTTCGCATCGTCAAGAATATCGCTGGTATAAAAAATTCTTAACTAGTTTTAGCTACATTAATGATTTTAGATGTTCATGTTTCAACACCATCTACTCCCCACTCGTCGTGTTCTGCTCTGAAATAAGTAACTGAAGTGAATTTTTACATTAAATCTTTTAATTTCTCGACCTCACAATCATACTTCACTTTTCCTAAACCTAATTCAATGAATTGAAAATGATAGAAGCTGTTGTCCTGCGACTGCTCACCATTTACGTGGATCTATTGCATTGTTCTTGGCATATTACTTGCTACATCAGAAGTTGGAAGGGATATACCTTCAACTACAGGTTCAAGGGATACGATTCAAGGGCTATACTAGTTGCCACTACATACACCTATCTAGTACGCGCTCCGTGAGAGAAAAGAGTCACCTCCACTTTGTTGCAAGGAGCGCCTCGTTTGCGACCTGCCGTGTGAATTCCTTTAAGCAAATCATATAAAAGAGGAGAGAAGCAGAGGGAGAGGCTGGTGATATTCTTCGTAGGTCTCTAGTTTCGAACAAGACAGGGTTCTAGAAAACCGCAACGCAATCATAGATTCGATAGCACGAGTCCAGACGTTGAGTAAGCCATTAAATTTCAAAAGTAGAGGAATAAGACTCCAAGACGCCTCTACGCTGGAACCAGGACGCCTCTAAGACGATGTGCAGTAGTAGAGGAGCTTCAGTACCACCCTTTTTTTACGCCACGATGTTCGTCTCCCACTGTTCTTAGTAGTTGATATAATAATCACCATATTATAGATACCCATAATTGTTCTCTTTCTCCCTGTCTCCCCCGTTGTTGGTTTTCAGTGTTCAGATGAAGATACTTCAAGGCTTCGCTTACAGTCTCCCTGGGTTGCTTGCAAATTTCAAAATAGAAAGAAAACTAGCTAGTATCTATTATCTACTTATGTATAATTAAAACCCACAAAAAGAGACCACGACTTGCGACGAAGACCCCTCAGGGATCAGAGTCGCTACCCTCAGTGTACCTCCCCCGATTCCCTTTCTATCCTATATTACACACTCGTCCCCCAACCCTCCTAGTACAGGAGCCTGCGGCAGTATCGAAGATTTTCTAGTTTCTTCACACTGGAGCACCCGAGACAAAAAACAAGTCTATACCTTCTTTTCAGGTTGTTAATAAGATATAAGTATCTTCTTAATATTGACTTGTGCCAGTCACCGCACCTGTGCCTAGCTGTCCCTTCTTCCTACCATGACCAGCAGTCACCTTGCTCACATAATCCGCCTAGTCCGAGATGACTTAAGTTCGTGATTATATCACCTATCACAACCAAGTCTACTCTTCACGCCAAACGCTTGCAAAATTCCCATCCACCTTCTTGCCACTCCATGCACCCAACCGAGCCGCTCTTTTTTGACGACTTCTGTTCAACTCATGTTATCCTGCAAACAGCACCTGCTACTTCTACTACATTGATCTTAATTTTCATCAGCATCTACATGATCTACAATACAACAACTGTTCCGAAATATAAAATTGTAACATAATGACTTTATTCATCGGATGATCATCATCCTGATTTTCAATTCTACCAGTCTCAGAGACCTCGACAGGGGAAACTGAAGCCACGTAGAATCAAAACCTTTTTCGCTTGTTCTGATGCCTCATCACTGATTGTTCGAAGAAACCTCTATCTTATTCGACCTCGCAGTAGCAGTACTCCTAATAACGAAGATTTTATTCTGGTACAACTTCTACCAAAATGTAAATGATCTTGTTCCCTTATACTTTTCCTAGACCATGGTCTTCTCACGTGTCTCCCCCTAGTACTCGGCCCTATTGATCGAGCATTACCATCATCTTACTGCCCCTTCTTCACATTCTTCGGGAACCTGTCTCGATTCTCGAAGTTTGTTCGCTTCCACGGCTTCTTCAGGGGAGCCAGGAATGGCACCCGCAGTGTGCTGCAGATGGTTGCGATCACGTCGGCCATGAAGAACAGGGTGAGGCCGCACATGTAGAACAGCAACCAGTAAATCAGGAACGAGCGATTTATTAGACAACACCAAGATGTCATATCTGTGTGCATCTCCGATGATGCTGTTTTTGGCATCTGCGAAGACTACTTCTGAGAAGAGCAAATATTCACTATAATGCGTGAAAGTTCTATCTCAAACGTCATTACCACTGCTGAATCAAGGGATGAACATTTTTTTTTACTAGTATGCAAAAGCAAAAGATTTGATCATTATAAATCATCGATTTTTTACCGTATAGTTGGACTTGGAGGACGGAGCCTTAAGTTTTCGGCTGAGTTGAATTGTGCGTCGCCGTGCATGTCACTGCAGAAATAAGCGAAGGCGCAAATAGGCAGGGTAACAGGCAAATAGCACTCCATATTGGTCTTCGTATATCGGATCGCGCACAGTTGACACACGATGCACCGCAGACTCAGGTACACCGACACCACACTCATAAACAAAAACAGTTTCAGCATATGCTCCTCCACATGTTAGAATTTCAGCAATTTCATCGCACAGGTACCATAGAGGGCTCGAGCGAAAACTTCTATATCACTTCCGTGCTGAAATCTCCAACATGTTCTGAGGACAGGAGGCTCCTATTCATAGTTTACCATAGTAGAATCACGTTGCCCTAGCACTCTAAAGAGGTCGATATCAGAAATGTAAATGTGTAACAGTCAGAGTAACAAGTTCCCCTAAGCGATGTGAATTTAGTACCTAATCTCATTGAAAGATGTCAGTGTCACGATAGTAATGCGCCAAACAGAAAGTTATCACTCTGGACGACATAACACATGAGCGGGACGAGGAAGAAGAGCACCGCTGACTGGAAGCAGTTGATGCCCATTGGCACGACGAACGTACAAATAGATTTTCGAAAGCCGACGGTTCTGAATACCTGAAATGCTGCACTACCGATGACGTACAAAGGCATTGCGGCAGACAGCACCAGAGCTATCGTCATGTACTCCACGCGGAAAGATTCAGCTCCCCAGAAAAATGAACAAGAGAAGATCTCCACTCGCTTGATGATGTTATTCCGCGAAGTGCCTAACATTTCCCTGACGAGGAATTGAGAAGCACTTAATCATAACACGACCTCCTTCCTAGACGAATCACTGATGGTACCTTTCTTACTTTCATGCTGAAAATACAACGACTCCTATCCAAAGCATCGCAGATATCAAATGAGAAAATGCTGATGAGAAAGCTGTAGAGCGAGCAGTTTTAAGCTAGTGTCAACACAGTAGAACTGAGAAAAACAACTTTTCCTTAAAGGAACATCGATGTAATTCGTGCGGCTGGCTTCTCGCAATGAGGGTTGCATCATGCAGAGGAGCAGCAGAATGTATCCGAACTGTCCCTCAGAAACATTGGCTGTATCTATTAGAGCTCACCCTAGTTCATCCTGGAATCCATCTCGAATCTATTTTTCCCTTAAGGCACAGCCTCGAGTTGCGTCTGAAGATGGATTAGGGAAAGCCTTAAATCTAGCGTTCCCGTGTGTAGATGGAACCACTGTCCTCCGAAAAAACTGCCAAAGACCGCGAAATGATAGAAGAAGATGATAGTGGAGACTACCGCGTGCGTCCTGGGGTCATACACGGACGTCGCCCCTGGCGCCTCGTTCGGCAGTCGCAGGAAAATCGAACATGTCGAACAGAGAAAGATGAAGAGCGTGGCCCAGGCGTCGCATGCGTGGTCGAATAAAGCGCCTAGAGGCGAGCACTGACCGGTGTTTCGCGCGTGCTTGCCATCCGCTGCATCTGCTATGTGGTAATACACCATGCACACGATCGCATAAGTGTAGACAAGGAGATCAGCAATATATCGCGTATTCGGTGCAAGATACAACTTGCTCGCGCCACGTCTTAGAGTTTTTGTCTTTTTTTAACTACACAGAAGCAAAGCAAACAGCGAATAAGTATTAACATCAAGTCATCGAATATGTTGTCAAAGCAGAGTTTCTGAGGGATGCGAAACGAAACCAAGGTGCTACGTTTCCCACCTATGCATCAGTGGTATCGGTACCGCCGCACAACAAGCGGCCTAAACGAACACGACAAATTCCATGCAGTAGAGATAGGATGGAAGTAGATATTCTCAATAAATCTTTTAAACCTACTTCTTAGATGAAGGTGCCTTACTGATGAAGCTGGTCCGGTGACACAGATATCCTCGGTCGATCCCAGTGCCAGACCTGCTGCTTTGCAGAGCGGTGCATCCCAGGCATCACAGTAGTGCCCCACGAAGAGGGCTGCCGCGGACATCTGCGCGATCATTCCTGACAGCGTGACTGCATTCGGCGAGATCCAGGTAGGGATCAAGTTGGCAGCCATTGTCCAGTACGGGTTCAGGAACTGGTCTGTCAGCGTAGGCGGAACGGCATGGTATTCGTAGAAAGCCAAGTTTCGCGCTCCCTGTGGGGGCAGAAACAGTCCGCGGTAGCCAGTACCCGCCTTCGAGATGCCTCCGGTGGAACCATCGTCAGACGTGGTGGTATTGTTGTCGCTCTCCAGCGTGCTTCTGCGGCTCCCGCCTTTTGAGTCGGGTACCTCAGCCGATTGACGTTGTCCTCGCTTTGCCGAAACTTCCGGGGTCTTATTGCGACTCCGCTGCTTCACTCCGTTTCCGTTACGGACTGACATGATGCTATGTTGACAACAAATCTCGGTACTGGTCCTATCGAAGGGTGGAAATGGCCTTTCAGTCCGTCATCAATAAATTGCAACGGTAGATTGAAAACTGAACAAATTGCATGCACATGAGGGTTGATGTCAAATGGTTTTAGTTGCTTTTCAACATATATCTTCTCTTTTTCAATAGGTTTAGTACTCGGCGTTTCTTGCCGGGCAACAAGAATGTTTCCCTACGGTTTCAATTTTGACTAAGAATCAGCACAGTGGACATGACATGAAATTTATTGATGTTGCAGCCAGAGAACAGCACTCGAGAAATGTCGTCTGTTCTCTACCACTCATACTAAAAATATGGCTTCTCTGCTTTTCCTCATGAAAACGAAACCACCGTACTGTATCTATCTATCGATGGATACCACGACGAGATCGAGAATGCCTTTTCAATTTTAAGCAGCCTGTTGCGCGTGAGCCTGTCTTGTTAGGTAATTACAAACAATGGAATTATATCACGAGGGCCAACTTTTGTCCCAAGTTTGTTGTCCTTACTATCTTTCGATTCGACTAACCAGCGTAACATTTTCATACTCTTGACGCACACACAGACACACACTCAAAAACGAAAAGACCACTCGCTTCTCGGCAAGCACTCCTCAGCAAAAAAAACGAATTCCATGCAGTCTTGTATCGAAATAAACGGCCGACAAGGTCGAAACAAAAGGTTTCTTTTCAGAACAATTTGGTACAGCCACTCTCTCTGAATCATCGAAGAGACATCGAGGATAAGACTCACGACCTCCACGATCCTAAAACCTGGTCTTATAGTGTACTCTAGTGTCAAGCAGCAGCAGTAAGTCAACGGTTGTGCGTCGATATATATCGCTAGCGCACACACGCGACTTTCTCCAAGCTTGCTTGATTGGTAAGGTTAAGGAGACGAATCTAACACGGATAATAGTCGACAAGAGAATGAGAAAGAAGAACAAGTACTGACTAGTGTGCACGTGATGAAAGGCAAACCCCAAGACCCTCATTGCGACGTTACCTTGTTCCTTCTTCGGCTTTCTTGCGTTTTTGCCGTAGAAGATGTTCGACATACGTCATGATCGATAAGCATTTTTCATCCTGCCACTCCGGCACTGCGAGCTGTACTCCTATGGGCATGCCCGCAGAATTAGCTAGACATCGACGCATGGCCTTTGACAGCGCGTCATTCGCTTGCTCGCGTGGTTCGTAGCCTTCCTCCTCTCCTTCACGAACTGTCGTGACCGGAATCGAGCCAGCAGGCCACCGCAGCAGGTTGAAAATAAAGGTGTACTCGCAACCGGCAACCAAGCTTTTCGCACCACCATGCTGACATGCAGGATAAGGAGTCGACGGGTAGAGGAGACAATCCAACTCGAGCTCCTCAAACTGCTCTGTCAATTAGAGAAGTACAAGTACGCTGTCCAAATGTGATCTAATATCTCTCCGCGCCTTTGTTCTGCTGTGGACAAACCTTTTTTTCAGAGAACTTTGTTGACGTCGAACTAGTATTTGTTGCTGTAGTATTCGTTATAGCACTATGTTCATCTTTAGCCACATTGCATCTTCAAAAGGCCGTCATAAAGGTAGTCGGCACAATAGTGGTAAAGGCCATTGGTGTAGAAATTCCAGTATTCGCGAACTGAGCAAGACTTCTGCCGGACCTGGCTGAAAACAAAGGCCCGCCTTGCATCGCCAACAAGGTTGCGCAGTAGCCAGCAGATCGCGCGCCGAATGATTCCGTCACGGATATAAGCGGCTCCGAAGTAAACCATTAAACGTCGACATTCATTGGTCACTCATTCTGAAAGAGAAGGGCCCTGTGCCTCTCCCCTTGTTTTCCCTTCATTTTCCCGTTCTCTAAGGAGGTCCCCTCTTCGATCTCAGTGACCAACCTCAATGACCAACGAAAGTTGAGCCTTAAAACCAGGCCGTAGTCGCGATGAAGAGGCTGGCCCTGGAGGCAGTTCTCCGTCCACCCGTGCATAGATCCGTCGCACCAGCCGCCAGTGTAAAGTGAGTACATGCGGTGCACATCGAGTTTCGGGTTCTCTCGCACCGGAAACGGCACGAGCTCGTGCCCCTCATCACGAAATAACTGCGAGGCTTAGAACAAGTCCAGCTTATAAAGCTTGTAATGCCGGCACCGCGTGAATCTCATCTTGTAAGGCAAGACCGACCGATGCAGTGGTCATCTAACAAATCGACTTTCGTGCTACCTCACTCGCTACTAGATGATCATGAGCCTTTTCTAGTCCTCGTTAAATATAGTTGTAGAATCGTAAATGACCTCGTCCAACGCGCGCCGCTGCGCTTTCGGAACTTCTAGGTAGCCATCGTCGACTACGTAGCCGATGCGCAGGCGCCGCTCATTCCAGTCGCCGTCGCTGCCTCGCCAGCCTTGCCTGGGCATACGCTTGTCTATTTCGTAAATGTTTTTGCGGCCTTCGAATTCGTACAGCAACGCGTACATTCCCGCCTCCACATCGTCACAACTGTTCCCCATGACACCCGACACGCCGGGAACGTACATCATAGTGCCATATTCGCGCAACAATGGTCCGTTTCGGTGTACTTTGAGCCGTTCACTCGTTGGCTTGAAACCGACTACGCCACAAAAGGCGGCAGGAATGCGCACGGACCCACCGACGTCTGTACCTGTTTTAGTCGAATATTTCCAAGTATTCAAAAATTCCGGTCGGTACTGCGGTTGGTGGCTTCAAGATACTATAACCCTTGCATTAAATCATAGATGACGAGGCTCTTGTATACGAGGAAATAGTACAGGTTGTACAAAAATTGATATCATTTACGGCAAGCTCAGTATTTTGTCTACAAACTCTGTACCAAGTCCTAGAACAGCCGCCCCGGTTGCGACCAGAGCAGCGTCGCCACCGCTTGAGCCGCCTGGCGTTCGACGGTCATTGTACGGGTTGCGGGAAGTTCCCCAGATATCATTCCTAGATTCTGGAAGAAGCAAAAATTGAGGTGCGTTGCCTCGCGCGAGGACGATCGCACCCGCTTGCTTCCAGACGGTGACGAGAGAGCAATCTTCCTTGGCTGGACCAAAACCGCACATGCGACCGACCCCGCCAACACTTTAGAGATACTAGGGAGTCAAGAGGTGCTACAGCTAGAAAGTATACGACTCGCATCTGAGTAGACTTCCTCGACGACGCAGTCAATCTTGTGCGCACGACCTGCGTAGATAGTACTTACTCTGTAAAACAATGCAGGCGGACTACGGAAGCTGCCTGAAAACCAAAGCGTAATAAGTCGAGTGGCATCCCTCTACCGCCAAACAGTCCTTAATCGATACTGGGACACCTAAAAGCGGATAGTTCTTCACATCTAGTAAAATGCTAGGTTCTCGCACGAGGCGATTGTCCCACTCGCGCGCGTCCTCGAGTGCCTCCACAATGCGCTCTTCGGTGAAGAGGTTGAGGGCAGCCGGTCCACCACGCAGGAGAGTTTGCTTTGCGAAGGCCAGGGTGATCTCGAAAACCCGAGCATGAAAGAACGTCGGGAAGGGGCAGCTCAAGATCTTCTCAACAAATGCACGATCAACGAACTACTTGTACTTTTTAATACCATTACCAAAACCTCCTTACTTTTACTAAGACCTTCTTATATATAACATCCAAAATTACAACAAACCAAAGCTTCTACAGCTAAGATGTAATTTGATCCCGTCATAGGTTGCCTGCTTTTTGACCAGAAGCTTGCGTATGCGCTCGACCGTGGTTGGATACACGGGTACAAGGGGCTTCATCGTGTCTTCTTTCACACTTCCCTTCACCTTTAAAGACGAAGAGGAGGAGGAGCCAGCAAAGCCCTGAAGCAATTTCGCTCCATCGGCGTGCAGATCCTCCTTTGTGTAGCCGAGTATGTCAGCCGCAGGAACGGACGTCAAAGCCAGATTTGACGAAAGAGTTCTCCCGCTCTGGATCTGCTTCGATGACGTCGTGAGGGCCGACGCGCCCACCAGCGAGGTCGAGGGAGACGACGCGCGGGACGAGGTGGAGCTGGGCAACAAACCTACGATTTGCTGCTCCTCTTTCGTCAGTTCCAATATGATCGGCTTCCTAGCACCCCCAGAAGAAGCGCCGTTTGATGCTGCTGCGTCAAGCACAGCGCGGACAGTGGCAATCAACTTTTGGTCGCGTTTTTGCACTACTCCGAAAGCCTTCTGCAGTTGCTTCCGACCTCGCTGTCTGGCCGCTGCCCAATCCTGCAACCAGGCCAAGAAACGAATCGACCAAAACGTGAGCAGCAAAAGCAACGCCAGATAGCCTTGGTCGCTCGGGGTGCGCGGAGCCCCTGTCGCGCCGTGCGCCATAGCTAGTGCTGACACTGACTTGGGATTCACTACCGCGTGATGGTACAGATCGTCGATCGCACCACGCAGACCGAGAAAAAGCGGCTCAACGTACAGCGTAATCGCAGCAGGCAAACTCCTCAACCGCGACGCCCACACGGAGACCGACATCGTTGCCCATCCCTCTGCAAACGAAGCACCCGCGTCTGCGACCATGCCCGCAAAACGTGACGCCATAGTTCCTGTAATATCCAAGGTGAAGGCAGCCGCAACACGTGACGCTATGAATCAGGTGAAGGTCCAGCAATTACTCAGTTACACTGAATTAAATCGCACTTTCCATGATGACATAGCTCAAGCTGGTCATAGCTTAGTTAAAAAAATGCCAGAAGATCCTGCGCTATTGCTTGTATCTATGATGAGGACCATAGACGCAGACCTCCTACAACATAATGATCTTCAAGCATTTTGAATGCGACGACATGTACATGCATTGTATTATAGTGGACACAGAAAATGCGGGGGGTACCAGGCACGTGGAAGATGAGAGTGGAATACCTAGAAAAATTCGCCCTTGTAACCGCTCCTGTTGCATTAACATCAACAGCGTCTGCTTGTTCTCGCGATCTACTTTGTGGACAAAATGGTATGAAAAAATGATCATGTTGCGAGTCAAAACGGGACAGTAAGAGCGGACAGAATCCTCACAGATACACACAAGCAAAAATGATTTGTTTCAGCTTTCAATCTCAACTTCAGCTCTAGGGCGCCCTACGCTGCAATCGCAGGTTGACATGCCGGACTTCACCGTGTGGTGACTCGAGTGCAACCACCTTCGTCATATTCTTTTGGCTTTCATTTTTGAGGAGGAGAGGATATAGGGGTCTCGTTCAAGACGGCGCCAGTCATGATTTGCACGATCTAATATGTTCATCTTCTGTACAACATCTGTACAACTACAAGTCCAGCTGAGTTCGAGCAGAAGAAGTGATGTTGCAATATCTAGATAAATTCAGTATGAAGATGTCTGATCGATTGCATCACGGAAAATCGACAGCACTAACGGTGCTTAGTGGAATTAGCATGACATGCAGTTTTCAATAGAAGTTGTCCAACGAATATAAAGTATAGTAGAGTCATGCGCCAACTATGACAGTCTCTGTACAATCGCGAGGTGGTTCTTGTAATAACCTAAGTATCTATGTTGATGCACGTCGGAAAGCTACCTTGGGATCGATGCGCACTTCTATGCTCTACTTTTTCTTGCCATAGTGGTCGTCTCCGTGTACTTACACAAGTTCTAAAAACTCGTGCTGAAACAATTTATGGGCTCGATTCTTTTGTTCTTTCCTGGAAGTTGTACTCAATGAATTTTTTTTCCTCCTTCATCATGCCATGCGAAAATCTAGGGACTCGACCCTCTTCTATGTTGTTATGCGTGCTATGTGGCCCCAGAACGTGATGTAATCACTTCAAAGCAGGAGTAGTCCAGGTCCACATAGACTGAAGACGGCTAGCCCTCTTCGAATGGCTAGATCATCAAAAGCATAGCATCTTCTGCGAGTTTGACTAGAACTACCACTGGTGTCCCGTGTCGTTGAAGGTATGCGTATTGTTATACCCAGCTAGCTCTCCCACAAGTTCTGTTTCTCCGCGTCCTCCTCCGTGTCCATGTTTGTGGACACACCCGCGTGAATCATCCTCGCGATCGCACACTTTTGCTGTAGCCTCTCCATGGGCACGTCCAGAATAAAGGGGTCGCGTCCGCTTCGATGTCCTCTTCCCCACCGCCAATAGTGAATCAGCGAACTTGAACTAAACAACAAGTTCACAGTCGGCACGTAGATCCTCCGATACCCCACGAAAACCCACAGGAGCACGATGAAAATCGCGTCGAATATGGACAAAAAAGATTAGACTCTTCATGCATCGCATTTGAAAAAAGTTGTGATGATCTTTTTACTCATGAATGTGTTGAGACCACGTAAGTAGTTGCAAAATGTGAGATTTAGAAGCAGGGAGAGATTCCAGTTTTCATCACAAGTATAAACTGGTAACAAAGGCAACAATTTTAGTGGCAGCTACAGACTCATCACAGGGCCCCAAGACTCTCGATTGATTTAGAAGAAAATGTTGATGCCTTAATAGAGCCACAAAGTGGAGAAGACAGCGAAACCCAGCGCTAAGAGACCACACGTAAACGCGCGTTCACATTTTACGGTTGCCAAATACCCCTTTCCCTCTCCAAACATGCGAATGATATCACAGTCACGGCCAGCCTCATTAAAAGCGTTGATAAAGGCCATCGCCAACAAAATCGCGAGAATATGCGCAGCCGTGGCAAACGCGAGGCCGTAAAAATACATCCTTGTCTGCACATGGCAAACAAACCAAAAAGGATCACCTGCCGTGTTTTCAGCCACGACAATGGTTTTGACACAGATCCTGAACACGTACTATTGCCTAGTGGTGTCGACCAGGAGGATAGGGGGAAAGTGTACGCTTACAATCAATATGAATGATTCTACAATTATTATCCTGGAAAGGAGGAGACGGGGTAAATCCCGAGAAGGACTAAGGATGACCTCCATTCAGAAACGAATCTAGTTAGTAGAAACCCACCTGGAAACGTAGTTAGGAAGTGCAACTAAAAATTAGTGCAACATTCTACCGTCTTTCATGAGCTGTTCTGGTTTTGCGAATTCGCACGCTCTTGAGACACGATCTACTGGCTGTAGCATCAGCACGATGCTGGCAGATACAAAGAGTGCGGCGTATACTGCGTAATTCTCGACTTTTGTGCGCAAGCGGAAGCAGACCTCATCGGTCCCGTGAATCATCATCAAGGCTCCCCATCCGTACGGATGCTTCTGGTAGTTTTCCAACCATTTTTGCACCGTATGCAATCCAGCAGTTTTTCTATACCTTTCGATACATATTGAGATCGAGGACACTCAGCACCGCACACTTCTTATTACTTTACTTCGTCATCTTCTCTAGAAGAATATTAGTACGCGTCGCGTACCGGCGGGATCGTACGCGTCGCCCAGAGCGCATCAAAACAAACAAACAAAACAAACAAGAATATTAGAGACTTTTGCTTTTTTGTGATCATTTCTGAAATGCATCGATTATCAATATGAGTGGGATAGATGATGTCGGCGCAAGGTAAATCAGAATAATGCGCAGGTTGAAGCGATCTCGATTACTCATGCAGCTGACTTGACAGATAGTCTCTGAAGTTGAACATGATCATGAAGATCAAGTCTAAAATTAATAAATATACCAGTCCTGCAGACTGTCGTCCTCTAAATTGGTTTGTGGGATGCCATGCGGGGAACCAAAAAGCATGTCGATGAGGCTCCGGCCAGAAGCGATGTTCGGTTGGTCAGCTGCTTCTAGGGTCTTCCGCAACGTGCGGATCACTTCCTTGGCATTTTGTTTGCGAAATCCGTGGAAATCGTGAATTTCATCGTTTCCACCGACTACCGACCGGCCGCCCAAAACTAGGCACTTCTTTTCCTCTGAATCCTTCAGAATGCCCGGGGAAGACATGCGCCGTTTCACTAGGGACTGCTGGGAGGAGCGTTTCGTCGGCAAGCTGGAGTTCCGTCGTAGGGAAGAATCGGAGGAACAGGATCTCGTCAAGCCATCCGCACCGGAGTCGCCTCTCTGTGGTGTGTCTCGGAAATTCTCTACCGTACTAGCATTGTTTTCGGCCTGATCTGAAGCTGCTGGGGCTACTTTATTAGTGCCGCTGCTAGAATTGCTTAATGACGGCCCCTTCTCTTCTTGGGCATTGGCATTATTGATTGCACCGGGAGCAGCGCCATTAAGGGGTGTGGATCTGCTACTGCCAGTGCTCGTTGATCTCGCCTTTTCGCCATCCGACTCAACAACATATTTCCCTCCATTTTTTGTCTCTGGACCCCCACACACAGGCACAACTATGTCGCCCTGCCCGTATGGTGCCTCGGCTGGGGAATCTGGGATGTCATCGATCATACTTAGAAGTCTTGGTTAGCATATTGACGCCACACTTCCGAGCAGATACATTCAGCTCTTCACACATAAACATATGATACCTACATTCTAGATCATTGCTTAGACTTGATATTAGATAAGACTCAGAAAACCCAGAATGCGGATATGCGTATGCTGTGAAGATCGAGTTCGAGCCACGCAAAGTACGTAGGTGTTCCGTAAGTTGTTGCCGCCGCCCACCGTTGTTGGCAGTGCTCCTGGAAGCGTTGAACTGTCGAAGCTCGTCCGACTTCCTTTCTTATTAGAGCTCGTCAGTAGGTATGACCGGTTATCTCGAACCCTAAAACATGACTAGTAGTAGTAGTTTACCCATTCGGGGGGGTAAGTTCAGCAAGTAGTTAGGGAGACTGAAGATCGTCCCTTTCCTGCATTAGTTAATTCAGGCTGAATTCACATCACTCTTGCGTCGAAAATCGGACTAGTAAAATCGAGGGAACTAGAAAGAAGAAGATTCATTGCTGATAATTCATGATGAAATTGAAAGTGAGTGCGGCGATACTCCCTGTTCTTAATCATTCACAACAAGCAGCGCAAAAAACACTACTACTTCTATTCTTGCAGGTAAACGAAGAATCCACAATTACATGAAAGCCATAATAGTCGGCAACGAAAATGGTGCGGACTGAAAACGTTCAGGAGTATCAGAACGACCAAACAGAGGCTCATTATCATTTTCATCTTCGTCGCTTGTCGCTGAGTGCTCCATTAGTGACAGAAAATCCTGTATTGTTTGTTGTTGAAGATTTTCTAGTTACAGTCTTCCAACGTGCATGTCTCTCTCACATAGCCTACAATACCGTGCTGACAACGACGTGACCTTGAGACTGACAAGCTAGTCATCCAGCTCTAATCATATTCAAACTTATAGACGATGTCGAGCTCGTGATGGTATAGAAAGTAAAACTCTAGTAAAAGTAGAGCACCTCTGTATTCTTGCGGAAGCGCGCGAGTCTGGCATGTGCACGAGCATTTAGGCGGGGGCTCGTTAGGAGATCAAAATCCTGGATATTCGGGTCTATGGGAGGCTTACCAAGTCGCAACTTTGACCGCGTGCGGTCTGGGGGCTTTCGAGCATGCCTAACGTTCGACATGTTCTTGCTATATTCTCAAAAAGAACGATCGCGATCGGTTGATTGATTGATCAACTTAGTTACCATACACAAACAATCGAACAAACTCCCAGTTATCTGTTGTCATATGAAGACTAGTATGAATCTGTTGACCAGTAAAGATGAGTGATCGTAGAACTCAGACCATGATAGAGCGAATACAGTGTAAAACTTCATATCGTGTAAGTGCATTCTAGAAATTGATTCTAAAAAATTTTCTCCATGCAGTTACCTGCTCACGCCTGCCTGTGCCTGTCGTTGTTTCATGTGGAGACCAGTGAAAGGACATTTTGCCATCAAGATTCTTCAATAAATTCAAGATGTGTATTACCTATCACGCCAAACACTAGGCCACCACATCTTCATTTTTATGTAATTACTTCTCGGCGTTTCTCTCGCTCCAGATATCTCGGAAAATCTCGGATTTCAGTCTGTGGGAACACAACAGTCGATGAGCATAAACGAAAGTAGAAGTTGTTGTCACAACTTCGAAAGGCATTGCCAAGTATGTGAATGGAATATACATTCGTCAAACTTCCTTGACAAAAATACCACTTCTCGCTAACTCTATCATGCTCCTAGATATGACATGCCAAAGTCGAAGTCGGCGATCACGCGCAAGATCGCTGATCGGCACACGACCTTGATAATTATGCCTCCATGTCAATTACTCTAAGTTGATAGCGCTAAAACATTGCAAAGAATATATTATTAAGGTATATTTTACTAAGGTTTATTATTAAGCTATGTAATATTATTGTTGGTCATGGTCGTAAATCCTTGAAACTATCACAAAGATCCACCAAGATCAGAAGGATGAAGATCATCAAAATGACCAAGATCGCCAGGCAAAAGGTTACCGGAGCACTATCCAAACGCCCGACGGGTTTACCGTCGCGCGGGTGTCTCTGGCTTCTCCTCTCTCTCTCGTTTGTCGTTTCAAGTCTCTCAACACAGTCAAGGACAAAGCAACACTGCTTTGACCCTTGAGTCTGGCTCAACATAGAGTAGAAATTCATGTAGAAACAAAATGTCTTGCGAAGAAACTCGACTTGCCTCAAAACTACCCGAATGTAGTTGGCATGGCGGCAGCTCCTCATGGTATTCCTAACGGAGTTACCACCCGGAAGGACGCAGCCAAAATGTCGCAAGGCAGAGTTGAGACGCGGAACCGGTGGAGAGTGGATTTTGCTCGCTGAATTTGGACGATGACGAGACTGAAGACGAAATAGCTGTGGATAATAGTGGGGGAGTAAAACTGATGAGACATAGTCTTTCAACTAGTTCCATTGCTGCAAGTAAAGAAGTTGCTCTGGTTGATAGTTGGACAAACAAATATCTTTCAAAGCACAAAGATAGGCTAGTGATGCAACTACGAGAACTTGTAAAACTACTGGTAGCGTTGGGAAAAGGACTTAGATCGTATGATGCCTTGGCTAGGTGGAGGGAACTGCTCGCAATTAGGATGGGAATTCAACCTCAAAGGCACAGGCGGTTGTCTCGTACATACGGACACCAGCCAGGCCATACCCACAAGAAGCCATCCACGCCGGCAGCTTCCACACTTACACGCAACTTACTCAAAGAAGAGACTGATAGTGGTTACATTTGTTCCACAGTAGGAGAAGGAGTCAGTAGATGTAGTCTTACAAGACTCGAACGTCATAGAAGGTGTGGGCACTTTCATATAGATGGCCTCCAGGTAAACTGTCCTGAGTGCGATCTACAGAAAGGCCAACGCGCACCATATGCAAACCAATAGAGATGCTTCGAATTGCGAAGGCGTATCAGTTAGGTCAAAGAGAAGTACACTAGTGATCTCTGTAATGTAATTAAGAAGGTGTGTGTCGACCGCTTAAGCTGCAGAGTGACTGTGTGGAGGAAATAGAAGAAGCGACAAAGGGCATTCGCCAGGACTACTCCTTATCTCTATATGACAAGGTAGTATGGTTCCTCCGGAGGGATGGAGAACCTGTCCTGAGCAGTGACGACATGACCAAGTAAGTTATGCAATCGCTGCGAGTCTCAGACAGTCCGGCTGTTCCTTATAATCTGGATTGAATGAGACCTGCGAACGTTTTATGCGGACTTTGTTCGGCAGTGTTCGCACAATGCTGACTAAGTTGATAAACGTCTCTGGCATTACTACGTCGAGCACGCTGGTGACTGCTGGGATTGTTTACCGCATAACTACGCGAAAATGCCTCAAAATGATGGAAAGAGTCCAATTGAAACCTTGGAGTAAAGGACTGGTAGAAACTCGTCGAAGAGTTCACTCCAATCGGCATGCTCCGTCGATTTGGTTGTCTAGTTCACTTTCGTGAACAACTTCAAGCCAACCCTCCTGAACCCAAGCGCTTGGCCAAAATACCACCGTGGCGTCTTCCTTTGGATTCTGTCCGAAGTCGTCTGGTTGGTTGGTTGGAACGTTCACTCATGACGATCGTTGCAAGCTTGGACATCGATGGGCGGAATACTCTACCCGAGATGTGTAAAGTTTGTCCAGAGAGGACTACTCAATAAAGAATATTGATTGGCTTTTGCCAGATCAAAGGGCATCTACATAGAGTCAGACGAACTGGGAAACCTGCCAGGTGGCGCGTCGTAGCTGGGCTCCCCCTTGCTTGGACAGTCAGAGCTAAGGCTGGATCATCAATCGGGGTTCTCTGGCACGGAGCACATTCCAGGTGGACCGACCGGAATTTCCGAAGAGATTACTGGATAAAGTAGAGGAATCCGACGCAGCTGACTTTCCTAAAGGTGTTTCACTTGAGGAGGGGAAAGCTGAAGCGAAGGATCACGTGACATCTGCTCCGCTTAGTCCGTCTAGGTTGAAAGCGCCCTCTCCAGCACGTGTTGTGGCAGGCGAACGCCATCCACACGGCGAGAAGCGTGGCCGACCAAAAGGGGCTAAGGACAAGGCAGGCAGCAGGGTACGAAGAACAATGAAACAGTTAGAAGAACTGAGAAAAAGTATGGCGCTGTTCGCTAGTGCAGTCGGTGGCATGTGTGAACTCGACGAAGATGAGGAACTCGTCGAATCATGTGTGATTTTGTCCGTTGCTCAAGCACTCAAGTCCCCGATGCCAATAAGTGGCAGGAGGTTATTGAGAAGAGCGTGCGAGACTGCTAGCCTTTGAAACGTGGAAAGCAGCTTCTGACGAGGAGCTTGCGACCGCGTGACAGGCTCAACCAATTGCCATAATTCTAACTATCAAAAGATGTGGAAGATGCACTACTGGTTTACTTTGGTTTCTAGACAAGTCGACTGTAGTCATAGACGAATAGTTAGGAGATATGAGTTCCGTGGTAGTCCAGAGACTAGGGACTTCGACACGCAACGATTGAGGAGGGGTGTTGGTCATGGTCGTAAATCCTTGAAACTATCACAAAGATCCACCAAGATCAGAAGGATGAAGATCATCAAAATGACCAAGATCGCCAGGCAAAAGGTTACCGGAGCACTATCCAAACGCCCGACGGGTTTACCGTCGCGCGGGTGTCTCTGGCTTCTCCTCTCTCTCTCGTTTGTCGTTTCAAGTCTCTCAACACAGTCAAGGACAAAGCAACAATTATCAAGGTATATTATTAAGCTATGTAATATTATTGTTGGTCATGGTCGTAAATCCTTGAAACTATCACAAAGATCCACCAAGATCAGAAGGATGAAGATCATCAAAATGACCAAGATCGCCAGGCAAAAGGTTACCGGAGCACTATCCAAACGCCCGACGGGTTTACCGTCGCGCGGGTGTCTCTGGCTTCTCCTCTCTCTCTCGTTTGTCGTTTCAAGTCTCTCAACACAGTCAAGGACAAAGCAACAATTATCAAGGTATATTATTAAGCTATGTAGTTATTAATCTGCGCTAATAATCTACATGATTAACCAGCCCACTGATCACCGCCACAAAACTCCCCGCGAGGCTTTTGCCTACAACCTCCCGCCCCGTTCCGCCCGCCACAACCTCCGTTAGTCTCCGACCGTTTTCCTGTCAGAACTTACTGCACAGCCCCCCGGTAGACTATCAGGGAAGAAGCCAAAAAAATGCCCGACGGGGGTAGGGGCGCAAGTTGGCAGAAGAACCCCGACGAAAAGCAGTCGACGAAAGACATCTGGCTAAAAATGTCCCCAGGGGCATGTCTGACGAAGGAAAGACGTCTGGCGAGAGACGTCCGACGAAAGACGTCCGACGAAAGACGTCCGACGAAAGACGTCCGACGAAAGACGTCCGACGAAAGACGTCCGACGAAAGACGTCGGGCGCAAGACGTCTGATAGATTACGGACCGACGCCAGGCGAAAGACGTCAGTCGCGAGACGTCCTCTGGCGAAAACAAGTAAGACCTCAGGCGAAAGACGTCGGACGACACCGAGAGACGCTAAGCGGGTGAAAGGCATTTGACGCTCCACGAAATACACCTGACGAAAGACGCTAGGAAGCAGACGCCTGCCGACAGATCGACTGCTCGTGGCAGACATCCGGCGAAAGACGTACGACAGAGGACGCCGGACGAAAAACGTCAGGCGACAGACGTGACATTATCAGACGACAAGCCGGCGCCAGATGTAAGACGCCTGACGGCGTCGGTCTGACGAAAGGCGCCGGCCAGACGGAGCCGAACGACGTTACTAAATCCGACAAAAGACGTGAGTCCGGCGAAAGGCTTCGCTCAGCCTGACGACAGATATTGATCTGACAGACGAAGCAAAGACATCAGCCCAACGAAAAGCCCCAGACGGTGCGGCGCGAGACGTTTGGCGAAAGACGCCAGCCCCTCTGGCCGCCGCTCTGACGAAAGGAAGCGCAGCGCTTTTTGTCTGACGAAAAGCATCAGCCCGACGAAGCAAAGACGTCAGTCTGACGAAAGCCGTCGGCCTGACGAGCACGAGAGGAGTCAGCCTGACGAAAGAGGCCCGCCCGCCCGGCGAAGGGCGTTGGCGTGACGAAGGACCTCAGCCCGACGAATGACCAGACGCCCCCCATGCAGAAGCAATACCATTCGACGAAAGAAGAAGCCCCACCGAGACTCAGCCAGCGCAGCTAGCCATGCGCTGCTGTTTCTTGGCCCGTCAAGGTCGCCCCTCTTGCCAGCCTGCCACCGCGGGCCGGCTATAAGCTTTGGGGCCTGCGGGTGGTTATGCGCTCCCGGTGATTCTCTTCCGCTTGTTTTTGTTGGACTGCCGTGGCGGTCACGCAAATCCTTAAGAATTTGCAAGACCCCCACGCCAGTCTAATAAAAAGCCAGAAGCTGCCTACTTATCAGCCTGCCCATAGGTCGGCGCATCTATCTCAGTCGGCTAGCGTCGGCAGCCTCGTTGCAGTCGGCTTATCGAAGTGCACTACTTCGCCCGCGGGCTGTCTCTAGCTGTAGCCCGTGGGCGGAGAAGTACTAAACTCGAAGCCGGGCGAAGCTTGTGGGGGCTAGTCACAATTGGTTGAAAAACTAAATAAAGCGTAAAGCACGGAGGTGCGCCTGTTTTTATCAGGTTCTAAGCAATGAGTCTGAATGGTCTTCTAAAAATCGAGGTCCACCAGACGTCTTCATTGCGCCTTCAGCATGTTCTCTTGGATCTCTATTCTCAAATTGCAGTGGAAAAATATATTTTCAATCTGATGTTGCGCTCGTGCTCCAACTTCCGCTTCCCTCAACGGCTTCTAACGCCGTTTCTCTCTTGCTGTTCTGCTTAACCACGCCTGAGGGCGGCAACGAGGCACAGTCGGATGCATCTCTCTTCGTCGGTGTAGCTACTTGCTCGGACGCGCGTCGCGGCGATCTGCTATTTCGTGACAAGCGTCCGGATTCACGTTGTTTTCCTCTGGTGCCGGCTTTCTTTCTCCGCATATCATCTGCGTCTACCTCCTCGGTTAAACTTGAAGCGGCCTCTTTGCGTGATCCACTCCGTCCAGAACCTTTAGGGGTAAAAACCGTCGTGCTGTTTGTTTTTGCTGATGATCGCGGGGGACTGGAGGGAACTGTAGAAGTTCCATCTAACGTCGTGGTTCTTGCAGATATTCCTTTATTCAATGGCGACGGGGAAGCTGAGGATGCTCTTGTTCCACCCGCTGTCTTTGGTGACGAGGACAAGCGATCGCCGTGTGGAATACTTTTACGAGGCTGCGGACTCAGTCCGGATCCACGAGATCTAGACGAGCTGCGTTCATTTTTCGCTTCCGACGTTCGAGTGACGGGAGACGCTGAGCGGTCCGTGAGAGTCGAACCTGGGTATTCAGCAAGGCCACGACCTGGCAGATGCCTGACAGCGCCTTTGGACATATCCGATTGTAGATACCGAGATGATGAGTTGCTTGCTCGCCGAACTGTCGACGTCGAGATGTTACCATTTGCAGCCGAGGATGAGGAAGCAGACCTCCTATTCGCTGATCCCTTGGCTTGCTGCTCGTCTACTCCGGTTTCTGCTTCTGCCAAAAGTTGGCTCTTCGCAGTCGCGGCTGCTTCGCCTTCGGCACCAAACCGAGCAGTGTTGTTCCGCGAACTTGTCATTAATATGGGTTCGCTGGTCATCTCCGACGCTCGCTTGCGCAGGCTCGGATAAGCAGCTGCTTTGTCATTTCGTTTCTGGTGAGATAACTCGCGTGATTGTTGTTCCCCGGGATTCCGCCAGGACACGACTTTCCCAGTGCGAGACCAACTCCCACGTCTCGGGTTCTGACTCTCCGACCGACGCCCCCTTTTTGTGGAGGAAGGACGACTCGTCACTGGACGTCCTACCTGTCGCAGAAAGTCGTCGACCGCGGTCATGTTACCGTTCCATACGGCAAGATTCAGACCCCCCACAGCACCAATCCTGAGATCTGTAACTTCTTCACTGCACGACCCGTCTACCTGTCTACTAGTTGCAAACTGCTTTTTGGTAGCTTCGACGAGTTGAGTGGCTGCACCAATAGGGCGGAACAGTAAGCCCTTGTTGCCTTGGTCCGCTCCTTCGGTGGAGCTGCTCTGCGGTACCGCTTTGCCCGAAGTGGATGGGACTAAACTACTGGCGGCAGCTGCACTTCCCGCGTGTGCGGCGGCGCGAAGCGTGGCTCTACCAGCAGCAGCCTGGCCAAGCTGCACTGACGCACTAATGTCAAAGTCCACCAGACTTTCGACCAGACTCATGATCCCAAGACAGCGCTCATCGGTCCACTCCGGTGTCATCACTTGAACGGCAATTGGCAGTCCCACGCTCTCCGCAACACAGCGCTGAGCGTTGCTGGTCAAGCAGTCGTCGCTCTGCAGAACCCGCTTGTATAAAGCCGATCCGGCACTGGAGGCCAGCCGTTTACCTTGCGCAAAGGCGGATTTAAACTGGCCCGAAGCGAGGCCTTGTAAAAACGCCTTGGTGCTTGAAAAGGCAGTCTCTCCCGTTGTCGCCTGTCCCGGAAGTGGCGATCCGAAATTGTTCGGCGAGCGTCCGTCGTAGAGTTCTTCGCCTGGATGCACAATAGTGACCGGGACGGAGCCGCACGGCCACTGCAGCAGATTCGCGTAGCACGTGTAGCTGCACACTGCAGAGCCAAGCTCCGCGCCCTGACCGTGAAACCACGCCGGCACCGGGCTTGACGGCATTAGTATCGCGTCTAGACCCTTGGCCATGAACTGGGCAGCAAAAGTGTCACGAAACTTCTTCAGGCTGTTTGTGAATTGCCAAAACAGGTCTCTCTGGGTGTTTCCCTCTGGCCGCTTGAAGAGCGAAACGATGAACGCGTGGCGGCGGTCGCGGCGCACCACCCGCAAAAATAGCGTGTAGAGACTGCGCTGCGTTTCAGTTAGAGTTGCCGTGAACTCTAGGCTTTCATAGGTGCGTCGGCAGAGCCGATCCGACGTGAGCGCCGATTCCATTGCCTTCTTGAGGGAGAAGAGTCCCCCGTCGCCGAGCACCAATCCAAAAACCAGACGCAGGACTTCCTCGCCATGCAGTACTCGGTTCGCGCGGTCTTCCTCCCCTAGCACGTCGAAGGCGACGATTTCGTGACCCGCTGCGTCCAAGGCGTGCAGCGTCTCAGCGAGCCCGCGTTGCGAAGCAAGACAAGGAGCAAAAAATCCGGTCTCCGCGATGAACCCGATGCGAAGTTTCGTCCCTGTCCGTGCGAGCTTCGGGCCTACAGTCGAGTCCCAAGGTAAAACCGGGATACTGGAATCGTTTCCAAACAATGGACTCTTCGCGTTCAGCCAGGCGCGCATCATGAGTTCCAAATCCGCGCACGTCCGTGCCATCGGACCGAAGACGCTGTTCACGAGAAGGGGGACCCCGTATTCCCGAACCTTCGGTGCGTTGTCGGGATGAAACAGGTTCACGCGACGACTCGAGGGCTTGTACCCGACGATTCCGCAGAGCGCGGCAGGGACGCGCAGCGAACCCGCGATGTCCGTGCCGACGCCGGCGACAACGCCGCCGCAGGCCACCATCCCCGCGTCTCCCGCGGAACTCCCCCCGCAAGAGCGCGCTGGGTGCAACACGTTGCCGCTGCGTCCGTAGAGCGGGTTCATACCCTCGAATGAGCACATCAACTGCGGTACGTTGCCGCGAGCCAACACAATGGCACCAGCTTGCTTCAAAGCTGCAATGGCCGGCGCGTCCTCCAACTCGCGGTGCTTGCTGAGTAAACAACGGGGATGGAAGATAAGTTTCACGATCGCCGTATAGAAACCGCAAGCGGAGTCCTTGCCCGTTCTGAACACCGCAGAGCCGAGATAGCGTAGACGAGCCAAGCTGACCCAAATATTGTGGTCCAAACCTTTGGCCTGATATCCCGTGGTCAAAGCTCGAAAGAGAGCGCATTCGCCACGACTACTAGCGGGCGCGACTTCCTCGGATGCATCTACTGCTGCAGCAGTGTCACGACCAGCGCCCACTGCAGCACCCCTTTTCCGGGACAAACCTTTGCTCCGCAAGGACGGCAAAGAGGGTATCTGCAACGTCTTCCTCATCGGTAGGATCCGCGTGGTCAGAGTACGATCTTCTTCTTCATGATCGAGTAAAAACCGGCCCACGCCGCCAAAAGAGATGCGGCATCCCTTCTGGCGAAACTGGTCTTTAACCGATATCGGAACCCCCAAAAGCGGGAATGAGTCTGTCATTGATGAAATTTTTCAATTTGTGCACTTAATCATATTTATATCTGTCTCAGCATATACTTCGGACAATAGCGTATCACGTGATAACTACGAGGAGGTGCTGTAGTTGCTAGCCCGAATAAATATAGAAGCGCAAAACTATAGTATGGAGGAGGTACCAATATCGTCCAGAGTTTCTGGGCGTTCCTCAATTTGTGTATCCCAATAAAACCCGTCACGCATCGCCTGTTCGATAGTCGTTTCCGTGTAGTGATTTAGGGCATCTGGACCCGAGGTCTCTAGCAGCATTCTCGAGAAGATGCGCACTATGTCTTGGACTCGGAAAGTACGGGCCTTCAAGCCTTGTCGAATGCGCTCTATGGAGCCAAGCTTGTAACTGTTTCTTCCCCCCATCGCACTCAGCCTGTTGCTGTAATTCGAAGGGCGCTCGTAGCTCTGTCCTATCACGAACGGCTTCAGTAGACTCTCCAACTGTATGCGGTCTGCTGGGGAAAGCGGAGGGATTATCAAGCCGGACTCCGTGGCTGATTTCTTGTCTGCAACAGCCTCGACCCCAAGCAACCGCCTCGTGCTCGCCCGCCGCTCAGTCAATAACAGGTCCCGCAGTGCGCGTTCCAAATTCCGGTGGCGCCGCAGCGAGATGGCCGAAGCCGTGCGCCGCGCACCGCAATACAGTACGTAGGAAAGCAACAGGGCTCCACCCGTATCCGGGCGCAGAAGCCATTTCGTCGCCTCAGTTAGGGTCAACTTTCTCAGCTTCTCCAATGCGTCGAGCAGCACGCCGTGAACGAGTAGCGACCACTGCTCTCGCCAAAACTGAGGTTGCCAGAGCGGCTGTAACCCTAAGTGTCGCAATGCGCCCAAGCTCGCGAGTGTGTAGCCACGCAGTGCGCTCGCACTTTCGACCACCACTCCTCCGGAGACGTCGAGCAAAGCCGCCATCGCGTCCAAATCAGGAACCATCGCAAGATACTGTCCTTCGAGCCGGTCAACCCTATCGTTGAGCTCCGACACGAAATTTTCACCCAACACGGGAAGCAGCAAAGAAGAGCACGAGCTGACTGCACTCTGCAGGCTCACCTTGCGCAGTTGGCGCTTTAAATCTTCGCGTTGTGGTCGCTCCATCCTTTTCTTGTAATTCCTCCATGACTTGTTCCTCCGAATTGAATATGGGTACTAGCTAACAAATTCACTTGTACTAAATGTGAGCGATCAACAAGGTCAACAAACCATTTACTCCGTTCTATCTAAAAGGTTGATAGTCGTGCTGATTCTACCCGAAATTATGGACTCCCACTCCGTTTCTATCTGAAATTATTAACTCCGTGATGTTTTCTCTTATCTGAAAGACTGATCGTAGTCCTCGTTGTTCAACAGCAGCCGTCACAGCCTGATATACAGAAGTAGAGGACTCCACTGGTGAAGCAAAAAGTCCTAGTCATCGGCTGGACCGGCAGTTGTGCGAGTTCGCTTTCCGAAGCCCAATTTCTGGCAGCACGCAGCAACGCACATCGCGCATACAGTAAAAATACAACTCATCACAAACTGACTTGCCGATGAAGCTACTCATGACGATGTGCCTAGCGGAGGTATTGTTAGTTGTAGCGTTAGATGCAGAATGCAGATCGCCCTAGATGTGCAGGCTAATTTGTTCTTGAACCAAGAATCCCAACCAAGAATCCCAATCTAATCAATGTGTCAAAATAAATTCGTCCTATCTCTTTCGTATTTAGAAGAAGAAATTATATATTTATAATACTAAGACGAGTACTGTTAGAGAATAATTACTCGTCAAGTGTACCTTAAAGTCGGTCAAATGCGTTAGCACGCCTGGAACGACTTGGAGAGCAGGATACAAATCGCTCCTAGCACGGAGAAACTTAAAGAATCACGAAAGCGGGATGATGAATTAATGATGAAAAAAGCCATGAATTAAAGGTCAGCAGTCAGCGGTCACTGATTCTGAAAGAAAAGGGCCCCACGCCTCTCCCATTGTTTTCCCTTCATTTCCCCCTGTTCTCTTAAGGGGTCGCCTCTTCGATCTCAGTGACCAACCCCAATGACCGTTGAAAGTTGAGCCTTAAATGAATGCATAAAGCGTGTCTGCGTGATTTCACACGATGTCCTAGAACCTTGCCGCGCCCTATTTTCTAATTCACTCACACATGATGACCTCTTGTCCAGACGGTTTTTGTTCCGAGCACTCACAGAGGATGCATAGGCTCAAAACAGATTATCTTTTTTCAACATTCCAATTCTTTCCTCTACACACACCGAAGATTATTTTTTTGTTGATGACACTGGACAACTGTTACGGCAGACAACAGGTTATTAGTGACTAATGCGTTCCTGAAGATGCTGTACTCTCGCTTTTCCTACTGCTCTTCCATGTTAGACGGAATCTGCGAAAAGCCTGCTCTATTCGAACACTCAAAGAAACCCCCAAATCGAGCATCTAGACGAAGATTAGCACAAGTAGAAGCCATGTCATCAATCATGCAATTTCGTATCCATTTCAAGTGATGTTGATGATGAAGCGGTATACTTCATTTTTCAAATCCTGACTCTTCCACTGAGCCAAACACATTGGACGATAGAGCGATGAGTCTTCTTTTTCATCTTCTATCGGCCTTCAGCAAGCCACTTTTTCCCGTCAATTTCATCCAGATTGCATCTGATGATCCTCCGCGGTGAGGTAATGGGTTCAAAGTCCACTCTCCGTGTTAGATTGTTCTCACTTCCGTCTGGAATTTTTCATTTTTCAATTCACCAACATCATCATCGTGTCCCATCTAGTGCTACCACCCTAATGGCGGGACAAAACCGTTCCAGCAGTGTGTCAAAATTCAACAAAGTTCTTTCTTTCTTCAATCCAACACTTTGTTCCTCATCAGACATTTAACAACTTTTTCTCCAGAACCTTATTCTCCATGGAGGATTCTGTTCCCTACACTTAGTGTAAACTTATTCTTTTAATTATGCAAATAGTTTTTGGATACAGGTAGATCTATTCTTGGGAAACATTATTTGGGCAGCGAATCTCAGCACACTCCTCTCAATTCGGAGTTAGCAAATTCTTATGCCATCTTCTATCATAGAGACGTGAAGAAGACAGTAGCACGCACCCCGCCTGTTGCCAGATAGTTCCTACCTTTTCAGCTAGAGCAGTCCGCTGATGAATACGAATGTTAAGAGCGGAGGCCTTCTAAACATTACGTAGACAACAGCGCGGCCAAGAAGATTCTCTGTCGGCGACAAAAAACAACCTCAGTGCTACTAATTTACATAGCCCTCCTCTAGAAGCAGCATCCTAAAGAAAAAGTGGCCGTTCGGGAAAAAAGGCACCACACTTGTTGAGTAGTTCTGTCCAATAATCCCTATATAGATCGTTTCGCAAAGATCTTTGAACAGGCACACGAGTTAATTACATCATATATCAATGAAGTTCTTGTAGTACTTCTATACTATCATAGGCAGGCGTGCATCTCTGATTTTGCCATACTCACTGCATATAAGTACAAGCTTGTTCTTCCCGGTAACAACAGGAATACTTGGGCAAATCATTGAGACCACAAGGCATGAGCGCCGGAGCCGGCAACAATAACCGAAACTGTTACAACAAACAGGCGATAGGCTCCTTGCGCGATTCTCCAAATGATCACGCTTGTGCTTCTCTCATGATCATTGCAATAGGACTCGATCACACCCTTATTACCTAACTACAAGTAGTGATTCTCTGCTATACCCAGTAGAAGTACTGGAAGTGATAACCTAGTAGGAGTAGAGATATTTCTTGCCTATAGTGATCATAACCTACTAGAAGTAGTAATACAAAGATTCTCCAAAATACAGACATTCTATAGGTTGTGATATGCGGTCAGCCTCGAATTGGAAGTATTTTCAAGTGTACTTGCATCTGCATACATGTAAGTCTGCATCTTCGTTCCTCCTCGCTTGTTCATTCTTCGGCTTACGAGGCCGACCAGTTTCTCGCCACCATAGCTGGCAAAGAAAGACCAGGTCTCTGTCTTCATTTGCACACGGTAGCTGCTTGCCACAACTTTGTGGTTAGGGTGTAGAAGGAGGCTCCTGCCCAGTCGCACCCAGGTCCATGCGTTCCACATCTTCTGCGAGCTTGTCGACGACAGGGCAACTTCCAGCCGCGTCTCCCAAACAAGCATCCGCTCTGTTACCAACATCCTCGGGAGTCGTGGTCTTATTTCCCAAGAACTTCGGCTCCGATCGATTTCCATTCTGAACCGCATCGATGCCCTCCTGAAATAAAGCCCAAAGAAGAGGCACCGTTCCTGGACCGCTACCTCCCTCTAGCAAAATTCTTAGATTCTTCAGGGAAGTGTACTTCGCTTGCAAGGCTGCCACAGCTGCGTAAGTGCGGTAGTCCCCGAATTCCGCTTTCACGTTGGCGGCCTTAGCAGCCGCCTTCGCTTCCCCGATAATGATCATCTGCTCGGCTTCCGCCTTGGCCAGCACCGTTTTCCGTTCGGCTTCCGCCGCTGCGTGTTTTATTCTTAGAAGGTTGGACAGCGAAGACCATCATGAGCAGAGAATATTCATGCTCATGTTGACCTCAGATTGACAATAACAAAAATAGACCTTGCCTTCACTTCATCTGCGACTTCCGGAGATAATAAGGTGACAGGAAAGAAAATCAATCAGCACACTTCTTTCAGTAGACACGGATCCCCCTCGGTCTTAGGATTTGCGCTTAAGGTGGTTGTACTTACCTAGGCTAGAGGTGGTGTATTCTCATTCATCTCTACACGATGCTGCCTTATCAGGGCTCTCCGGTTCTTCAAATCGGCTTCTTCGCTCTTAAGCTCTTCTGTCCTCCTCATCTTTTCCTAGATATTAGAGAACCCTCATGCTTCGATCATCAGACACACATGCCCATTTTTTCATAAGCAGACGAACGTCCAGCAACGGAGCACTAGAAACAACAGTGAACTCTCGACTCTGCGGAGATTCATCAATTTATTCACTAACTGGTGTACCTACGTGGCGAGAGCTAAATGTTTTTCGGTAGGAAAAGAAGCTAGGTTGTTACTTGATTTGGTTGCAACGTACAACTTCCATATCAACCATATTTGAACTAGTTCGTCTTGGGCGTTCATAAGTTCAGCATTCGCTTGTTCAGCAGCCTGCTTTTGCTCCAATCGAATTTTCGCGACAGCCTCATTACCCTCCCGCTCCTGTTGCGCCAGTTTATGAACACTCGCCAATTCGTTTTTTTTTGCCTCGGATTTCGCCTTCATGGTCGACATTTTTTGCAATATGAATATTCCAGTAGTCGTAGATGATCACATTAGAAGTTCGACGGATTTCTCTGAAGTATTTCGAGTGTGGATATGTCAAAAACAATGTTCTTGGGATTTGCACTCGCTTCTGCTCGGCCTTAAGCGTCTTCTCTCTTTTCGAGACATCAAAGCACAGTATCCATGATGTTATGGGGAAAGTCAACCGCTCAAGTTTCTTCGTGTGCTTTGGGGACCATATCGTATTCAGAAGGCTATCGAAATGAAGAGAAAAAAGTACCTTCGCCTCTTGGGTTCGAAGTTGTTGGGCGTCAAGGTCTCGGTCGGCCTGCTCCCTACTCAAGCGATCGTAAGCCGCCTGGACTGCCGGTTCCATTTGCCCCCGTTCCGGAACTAGGATCCGAATTCCTAGAACCACCACACAATTCGCCAACGTCTGATCATCTGCGCCCACCACTGTTATTTTTTTTTAAGTTGCAATACAATGGGAATGAATTTAGCACAAAGATCTGCGCCGACTGCCATAGGGGCGTCTTAGAGGTTCGGCACCACGCTAATGGGCATGTCATAACCACCCTTCTATGCGTATCCGACATTAGATCGAGAATGTTGTAGCTACCATACTAGGCAATCAAAAGGTACCTCAAAAACTATTTCGACTAGAAAAAACATCGTGCCGAAGATCATCGTGGCCAAGTACCACGAGTATCGCGCAGCTTTCGCTCCACCTCTCCTTTAATATGTTCCTCAAGCTCCTCGAGCGTTTCTGGCCGTCGCACGATATCCATGGCAGTACGTTTACGGCAGGCTTTTGACAGAGCTATCTGCGCCGGCTCTTTGAAGTAGACGTCCTCGAAGGTCTTGGGATGTCTTGTTAGAAGCAAGCACTAGCACTAACAAAAGCCTCTCAACATTATCCATTTTTGCATACAGCATCCCTGAGTTGCGATGTTCAAACAGTTGGCCTAGTCTGAAAACGGAAATAAGTGAGAGCATTGACGAGGCGTTTGAATCACTGGAACCGTCGTTGTCTCTGTCTGAATGGTATCTCTAGCAGGTAAAAGATCAGAGAAAGCAGCATAGTGGAGCTTGTAGAAGTAGCGGGGCAGTCTCAACAAAGCTGATAATTTGATCCTGGGTGACGTTCACGCACTGCTTCCGGACAATTGGAGCGAGAGGTTAAATAGTGAGATGGCTTGCAAGTGTGTGTATTCTTCTTCAACAAGAGGATGTGGAGCCTTAATTGTTGCCATTGGATGAGAAGAACGTAGCGCATGCACTCGGGACTAGCGTTTTTGTTGCCGTAGAGCTGTTCGTTGATCATGTTGCTAAAGATGGTAGTCAGTTTCAGCTCTCCGCCAAGTGCAACGCAACTCGTGTTTTCAAAGGTGTCCTGGTCCTTCGTGACTCTCGTTTTACACATCGTCGACGGGCCCCACTGAGGGACGAGCCAACACCACGGCCATGTAGTCTCGATAATACCCTTCTTGCCACCAGGATACAGCTCGCCACCTGTCCCCTTGTAGAAAGTTCGGCATGACATGTCCTCTTCGCAGAAGTCGCCCACCAATTCGTCGAATCCGGTGAACCTGCTGAGCCCAATGACCCCACCAGCCGCAGAAACTACCAGTGTCAGCGTGGCGAGACAAGCACCAGGACAACCGCGCACTCGATCTGTCAGTTCCGTCTGCTGGCGTCCTCGCTGCTGCTGCTGCTCCTCATGTCGAGCTGCTGAACAAAAAAGGATCCCAGTAGAAGCCAAGGACACAAGGAGGAGCTTCTTGGTCATTGTAGCCACTACAGACTGGCGGGAGGAAGGTGGTGCCATCTTTTTCAGTTTTTACGAGCTTTGAAGTTGCGTTAGCCCACGAACAATAATAGTACCAGAAAATCGAGTTGGATTACGAGTTTTTATTTATGTACGTATTTCCTCAGATCAGAATCAGAATCAAGAATAATACACTCAGATTGAATACTAGAGCGTGGGGATAAAAAAAGCGCGTTGCTTCCACACGTACAGTTTCTTGACAACGCGGACCACGACAATACTGGGAAAGGGCCAAAAGTTTGATGTTATTCAAAAGTGGTTTCTTTCCTCTTCTTTTATGCTCTTGCAAAAATGCTCCACCTAGAAAGAAAAACGAGGTTTCTTTGCTTTTTTGATGCTCTTAAAAATAAGAGGAAAGAGTTTTCTCTTCTTTTTGTTGATTGCTCAACGTTAGCCCTGCAAAAGCGTTGATCGTTTGATTGATTGATTCAGTTGAGGACAAGTTTTTCTCGCATAGAACCAACACGATGGACAGACAAGATGACACTTCATAAGAAGGGAGGGAACGACATCTACTGAGGAGCTTTTCCACACTTCAAATCTGAACTCTTCAAGCAAGGGGGCTCCCGGCTGTGTTGCGGTTTCCTGACTCTTGTGCCCATAAGTGTCCTGATTCTGTCATTCGCGGTCCAATCGTCTTTGGTCGCAGTAGTATCCTGATTATAGTTGTACCAAGGCGCACTGAACCCTGATCCCACCGATCATTCTCACCGCCTTGAACCCGATCGTCAACGACCGTCCTTCTTTCCTTGCTGTGCTAACTTCATCTCGTCCAAAAAACTTCACAGTCGTTGCGGGAGATTTCAATGTCTAGCAGTGCGATGCACTTGCTTGCGCTTTTCTTGCCCGCTTTCTTGATGATTTGAAAGTATTCTTTCCCTGACGACATCTACCAGTGCGTCTACTCAAAATCCATCTGATCACTTCTGATTGTGATTTCCTCTTTTGAACGCTTTTGCTTGATGGCGAAAGCGTATGATCAGCATCATCACCACCATTTAGTTTCCAACAGAAGTCAATCGTTTCTTACGTGAATAGTTCTAGCCTTGAACATACTGACTACTACGTTGTCAGGATCCTCATCACAATCATGCTCGTCCTCTCATGATGGTACTACGAGCATGACCACATAAGAAGGGAACAAGCCTCACGTCCATTACCAATTGCTTCTTTGAGACCTCACGTGTGCTTCCCGTAGATGACAGACCTGCTGCATTGCAACGAAAATGGCACGATTCAGAGAGGCTCAACAAGATTACAGCCTCATGATCCAAAAAGGCTCAGTAATAATCAACAAACAGACTGAAGAATCAAAGGTCGAGAAGGATCTTTCCAGTCATCGATAGGCCCCGAACGCTTCTTATTCTTGTGATCTTTTATGTCATGATGTGTGTGCTCGTCCGTGTTCATATTGTCCATGTAATGATATGATTATTATCGTGATCAGTGCGTGTGAAGATCATTCACTTTTTTGTCCGATCATCCAGTCTGAACACACGTCTCGAGTTCCGTTGCGTGCTGTGGAGAAAGAGAATGTTCAGTTCCGAGAACGAACACCTGATACTTCTAGTCCTCTTGCGGAGGACTTTCAAACAACATTGTAATCTCCTAGGCACTTTCCACGATTTCTATTTCAATCGTTCCTCTATGCTGATGTTGATGTAGGTCGGTGCGGATTTGTTCTTATCGTTGTAAGCGAATTAGCTTCCATGATGAAGTCGCGAAGAAAGAGACTTGTTTCTAGTCTATTTACCCTCCCTTGCCCGGTGACTGCAGTGCAGGCTTTTTCTTTTTGCCACCCTTCGGACTGCCCTCACGGGGTGATCCTCTGCGACCCTTTCCTTTGCCACCTCCTTTTGCTTTCCCTTTCCCCTTCTTTGCCCTGTTCTTGCCCAGCGAGCCTTTCTTGTTCGGGGACCCTCCTTTTTCTGGCTCGGACTCCGACCCCAATCGACTTTGTCGTCGCCCTCGCTTTCCGGAAGTCTGCTCAACATTCACACCATCTCCATCTCGACGTCCATCCTCATCAGCGTAGCCATTCCCATCATCATCGTCCGTGTGATCAACATCTTCGTCTCCAAGAGAAGCGATGCCCTTGTTCGAGGTACGCTTTGCATTTTGTTTGTCCCCCACTACCACGGCTTTTTGCGCAGCTATCTTCTCCTTGGCGTCGCGACCACGAGCACGCAGGAGCGCCAAGGCACGGGCCGTTTGAGCAGCTTGGCGCAGCATGTAGCCCGCGACCCCTCCGAGAACGCCTCCGTACACAAAGAGCTTCCAAAAGCGGCTATCTTGGTCCAGCGAAGCCTCATCTTCCTCCCCCTCCAGAAATAGCGCGTCCTCTTGAAGATGGCTTGGATCCTCGGAGGATCCTCCAGTCCCTTTCCCTGCCTCAGCAGAGGAACAGCGCCACGTCACACCATGCTCACAGTTGTTCTTCTGACAACACGCGAGGGACACCGCAGGCAAAAAGGACGTACTTCTACTGCAATGGGAACGTTCAAACTTCGAACAACAATCCACATTGTTTGGCTTGGAACAACAATGGGAATTGTTCCTCAGCATCAGCAGCTCACTTCTTGTAGAAACAACACGCCGACGTCCTGATTGAAACAGGCTGGAAGTATGGGCCGGAACAAATTCACCTCCTCCACCATCTTCTATCAACTCAGAGCTTCCACCAAAACGAAACCACTCTCCGAGCAGACTAGGCATCTTTTCATGCAGGCACAGTCCTACTAACGATAGTATATTGTTGCACGGGACGAGCTTAGATTTTTAGAGGTGAAAACTAACCAGTTGCTCTACTTAGTGCTTTGAGCGTCGCGGGTCCTACTAACGACAGTATCGAAAAACTCAATGCTAATATGCTCTAGATAGAAAAAATGGGATAGAGTGCCTCGACGTCACCTTTACTCGTTACAGTCTCCACTACTTCAAATTGTATTGGGGTTTCATCAATGGATTTGTTGCATTTTTTCGAGACCAGAAGAAGTCCGCGCAGGCGCAACAAGTCATTAAAATGGCGAGACCTGAAATCAAAGCCAGACTGATGAATCGGCCCAGGTTATTTGACCATCAAATGGCTCGTTGTTAAGATTCTCGATTGGGGTCTGTCAAGGCTTGTGATCCGGACTGGCCAGATTTGTCATGCGTACCGAGGACTAAGGGGTTCGACAGCACAGGGTGAGTCCAACTCCATGCATCACCGAATCTTAGGCCCAATACTGATCATGACAGAACTTCGTGCTGTAGTATTGGAGACAGACCAACAAAGAAATGACTTGCTTAGAACATTCGTCGTCTCTCCCCAGAGGACAGACACGTAACAACAGATATCGATTACCGAAAGATACAATACCCGTTCAAGCACATCGATAGTCCAACCGGATCTATATCATGACCAACGCAGTTTGGTGTAGCACAGCAGCGACATAAAGACTTGGGCTCAGAACATGCGCGTGGACAATCGCATCCCTCACACCAGGAGGCTTCATGATGGGAGTCATTCTTTTCGAGCATGCGCCGCGGTGGGGATGAAGCAGGGGAAATAAAAAGTAGGTAGAACCGTATCCGGGAAATTGAAGTAGGCAATGCGGTGATGTTGAAGTAGGCAATGCGGTGATGTTGAAGTAGGCAATGCGGTGATGCTGATGTAGGTAATGCGGTGATGTTGAAGTAGGTAATGCGGTGATGTTGAAGTAGGCAATGAATGCGGTGATGTTGAAGTAGGTAGTACGGTTCTCGCAACCGTGGGAGAGGAAATTAGAACAACAACATTCAGCTATATTTATTCTACCACTGGATGTTGACTAAGAATCTACAACTTGTTTCGAAAGTGCCCAAGCTATATTCTACCAGGAATTGTGAAACTTTGCTTCTCGTAGAGTCCGCGTCCCCGCAGGACCTTGTAGAGCTGCCTCTACATCCTGCCGCCACGCGTCATGCAACCATTATGTGTAAGATTACATCACGACAGAAGTACTACGAGAAGATCACTCCAACATGTTGTGGGATTAACAGCATGAAAGGATCATGCATCCAAGTATAACTTTAGAATCAATTACTTAGTTTTTTGGACAAGTACTTCGTACAGAGCTCTACAATCTGCTCAAAGAGCTCTACAATCTTCTATAATTCGTGTCTCGGAAAGCAGCAGCGGTTATAATTGAACATTCCATCCCAGCACTGGGTATTGCCGTTCGGACCGAATTTTGGATCACAGCAGGTGTGGTAGTCGAATCCATCGATCCAACACTCGGTGTTTCCCATCGTTAGCTTCTGTACATCTGCAATAATTGTAGTAAAATAGATAAGGTACATCACTACTAACCCTGTTCTTGAAGTAGGGAGAAAATTTGCGGCTTGAGTAAAAATCGAAATTGAATGTATGCGGTAATTGGATAGCAATACCCACAGTAGAATCAAACAGCAGAACCCCTATATATGCACGGACTAGCGATAGTACCACTAAGCAAAGAAAAATCCGCAGGACTTCTGTAACGTTGGTGTTCGCTTATAATTAATATGTTTACCTGGCGGCGCGCACGTTTTGGATCCGCTTGACCAGCCGTCTCCTGACTCGCGGCCGTCATCGGAGACACGCATCCAGCACTTTGTCATACCTTCTTCACTGCCGAATGCCCACCACGCACACTCCGGTTCCGAATTGCAGACGTTGATACACGACTTTGATATGAAGGGTGGGCAAACGACCTCTACATGCAATACATTCGTACTATATAGCGTATAGGTAGGAGGGTAGTGCTCATTGTACTACAAGAGCTGCACATGTTGTACTAGTACATATTGTTCCAATAATACTAGAGCACTGTACCAGTAGACCACAGCAAGTTGCACATTTGTTCGGACACAGTCCACAACACGGCACTTATTTTTCCTCATGACATCGTAACTTCTTCAACCTCTAAGTCAGTACAATCTTCAGATAGGCAGAATACTACCAGTGGCAAACTTGCAAAAAAATTAAGAACTGAGCAAGTGACTTAGTAAACAAGACCAGTAAATAATTTGGTAAGAGTGGTAAGAGTGACTGAACGGTGAAATCACTCAGTAGGGTTGTTGAGAAAAATGTGTGAAATGAATCAATCGAAGAATTTTTTGAATTCTCAGATTCATAACTATTGACGACACCGCAAACTTATCCGTATTTTTGCAATCGTCCAGAAAGCACCTGTACTTTGAAAATCATCGTACATAATCTCCTCCCATCCCACCCTTTGTGCTTGTAGTTAGTGTAGTGCAAGTCAATCGAGATTATGCAATATGCATCTTCTTTGTACTTTAGAATAATTGAAAAGATATATCAAGTTAATAGTTGCTACATAGGCATTGTCGTCATTTCTTCTCTCGGAAGCCCGTATTCTCCTCCACTGTTTACATCACGACGAAACAGATTTGAGAAAATGGAAAAATGGAAGCAACACACTGACGTTAAGTACCCTGCTGCAGCTCCATAGCCGGCGATGTTGGTGAAAAATGCTTTACCCGCATTCCGTATCACAGTGTTTTGCTCGATGCAGTTTGGCCAAAGGCTATCGGCTCTTGGCACGGCGGCCAGAGAAGCAAGAATCAGTGCAGATACAACACGGCCCATGCTGATGATCATCCGCATTTTGGTTCGTCTATATTCGGAGATGATAAGTGAATTAGGGACGTACTAATGTTTTTCCTAATCCTGTGTATTATGTCTGTCTTCAAAAGCCAAAAAGAAACAACTCAAGAAATATCATATTGGGTTCCTGCTCTTTACTCTCGGATGTAAGTGCGCGCGAGGAATCATGAGATTTCACCGATGTTGCGCTTGGTTATCTAGAGCACCAACTCAGGAGATCATCGATGCAGAAATCGATTCGGCCTTGTTTTGACAGCATAACTCGAGAATCCACCTGCACTGAGCGTGAAGCTTGATCATCACAAGAAACTCATCGTCGCCTTGACGCTTCCTCTTCGATGGGACTTGGCTGTCCGACAAGGAAGACTAAGTATAGTTGCTTCCCAAATAGACTACTCATAGCCAACACATTTTAGATGAAAAGCAAATAAAGTTTAGAAATCAAAATTTCGGTATACTGTATTAAATATGATTCTTCGAAGTAGGTAGTAGTACTCCTGGCGTCGACTATGTAGCTCTGCGGCGCCAACTCTGGATATACCAGGGCTTATGTAGTCCAGCTCTCGTCACTTGAGAAGCTTATTCTCGACGATGCTAAAGTTCACGGTAAAATACAATCAACGGAAACTACTAAACCTATTGTTCTTGAAGTAGATGTAGGTCAACAAGAGCATCTCCGTCCGACCTTGCAGCCAATAACACCCAGTAACACTAACCTGCACTGTTCTTATTGGGTTTGGGGTGAGGATGAGGTGCATGTTTGAACAAATACTATTCAAGAATAGTTACGAAATCTAAAAAAATTATTGTCCGAGAGAAATCATCTTGTGGGATGGTCATGAGGCTCAAGTAGGAGCAAGGGTATGCTTTTCAGGTCAAACATATGGGCAGTCCTTGTACCACGCTACTGTGCGTCGAATCCCCTCATCGAGAGATATATCCGGTTTGAACCCCACTTCCGCAAATGCATGTTTTTGACACGCACTAGTAATAGGCACATCCCCAGGCTGATCCGGCATTTGATTGATGATGGCCTCTTTGCCGACGTGCTTCTCGATGGTCGCAATAAACTCGTTGAGTGTATGCGTGGTGCCTCCACCGAGGTTCATCAGCCGATAGCCCTTGTTTGCCGTAGGCACTTTATCTATTGCGAGAACCACTCCGTTCACAATGTCATCCACATAAGTGAACTCGCGGATCGCACTGCCGTCCCCGTACTTATCGATTGGTTGGCCCTATGAGATCATGGACAACATGGAAACAATCATTATATAGAAGTGCAACGAAGATTTTTTCATGCACCTGATGACGCCGATAGTTGGAAAAGAAACATACGACGTCGAGGAGAATAGCCTACGACCGTTTTCTTACTAGCATCATCGATGGACGAGATCGAACGACGGAATGACCGACACCAACTAGACTTGCTTATTGATCTTCTCAAAAAAATGGATGACATGAGCACTACAACTATGTTGAGAAGTTGTACTTTTCCTATCTTGTCGATGAACTTGAAGGCCGCCATGTCTGGGCGGCCTCGTGGGCCATAGACGGTGAAAAAGCGCAGCATTGTGACGGGAATCCCTGTAAGGTGGCAGAAGGCGTGTGCCAGTAACTCACAGCTTCGCTTGGTTGCGGCATAGGGACTCACTGGGAGGTCGCACTTTTGATCCTCCGAGAAGGGAGCTACGGAACTCGCGCCTCACTATGAAAGGAGATAAATTTTTGTGGTGTTTCTTTCATCCAAGACTGTCATGTGACTATCCTCAATCACTATCGAGATGAAACAGTCCCTGAAGCGGTCCAATGACTACCATCATTTTGTTCACTCTAGAAGTACTTCATCAAGACATGAAAGAAACGTTGGACTCGTTAATGATGTAAGAAACACCTTCGTCCATAAATATACGGAAGAACTACTGGCGCACACTGCGTATGGCACCTTAAACTTCTTCACTGCATCTAGTATCACCTGTTGCCCCTCTACATTGATTCTCACAACTTCGGCCGGATGTTCCACAGAATACCTGTGGCGTTTTCATTCTCCAGGTTCCTCGATACAGCAATTCTTAGTAAAGTCGCTAGCTGTACTGCATGAACTGCATATATTTGAAAAAGAAAAACGGTGACCTAAGGAGCTACGCAATAAGTAAGAATAGTTGAAGTAGGGCGCTCCTTCATAATATAAATGCTAATCTAATACCTGACGCCCGCTTGTGCTCCCAAATGCACGACACAAGAAAAGGGCCCTTCCGCTGCGAACAACTTGTCGACCGCCTCTGCATCATTAAAACTAATCTCGTAAAAGGTGAAAGGTTTATCAGCGGCATCCTTCCCCTCATTGTAGGTCTCTAAAATCTTCAATGTCTCCCTCTTGAAAGCGACACGTTCTTAGAATGGGTCGTTGCATTAAGATTGCTCGAGGATAGTACCTACTTCTACGTGCAGGAACTGAGAATCGAGTACACAATAAAGAGCAAAATCGTGATTTAATTATACTCTTATGTATGTTGACATCACGCTTGGTGAGCAATGCTTGGGAATGTGAATCCAGCATCGGGAGATACTCAACGACGAGTCCACCCACCTTGATTGTAGTGGTACACCCTCTCTAACTAGAAAAAACCAAAAATGACCAAATAGGAGGAAAAAAAGCTTTTACATATTGATTAGAGTGACTAAACTAGGATGAATATGAGGGAAAACTAACCGGTTATTTTTCGGCATGTGCTTTAATTGTAGTAGTAGGCTTTATATATCCTAACGTGATAAAATTCTAATTTGTAGCATCAGTCCACCCTTAATTGTAGTAGTCGCAGACGTTGTCCAGCCCAACGACCTTGTCACCTCGCTTGATGAGCGCCTCTGTAAGGTGGCCGCCTATGAAGCCAGCGCCGCCCGTAACCAAGATCTTATTGCCGCTCATTTTTTCCTATCAAAGTGGTCTACTTCTCGCTTACGCTTAGTGGGCTTATGATGCCAACAACTTGTGACGATGTGAATTTATTCGGCGGATCACCCAAGATTTGTTCCCTGACGATTTCTACCCGCTAATCATGATGTCAACAGATATATGAGCTCTTGTCGCACTTTCACACTCGAAGCTCTCGTTTATCTCCGCAAGACCGATGAAAGGCGGCAAGGGCGTTACCGCGTCACGCTCAAGATCCCTGCTTTCGAAACTGTATCAGCACCGAAACCTCGATATCCGGCTCTCGACAATGCCGTCCGCTCACACGAGAAGCGTAGCATCAGGACGCTTGGTGGCCAGCGATATGATAGATTCTGTAGATCATTTGTTTGAGCTGCTTAGTGCTCCTCTTAAAACATGACTTGACAATGCTCATCTGCGAAGCTTATCATACGTGGTTTTAGAAAATTCCGTCCACTGACATTTCTTTGTTGGCGAATTTTCCCACAAGATGGAGTCTACGCATGAACAGGGTGGCGTGTGCACTTTCGAATTTGGTATTTCGGCTTTGATACTTTTGTACAAGGCATTTCAGTTACGTAAAAGAACTGTCGGTTTAGGATTAGGAAGTCAGCCTGCGGGTTTATAACAAGCTGTTTTAGGATCGTTCTTCACATCGAGATGGAATAAGAGAAAAGGAACAGAGTATTGAGCAACATGTGAAGATGCGCTTGCATCATCAAGTGGACAGGTTTCAAGACTCCTCATCAGCGGGTTCCACTAGAAAGATTCCATTGGACAAGACATAGAGCGGCGCTTTCGCACTCCCCGCAGAGATGTAGGGAACGCGACCGAATTTCAAGATTCGAAAGCCTTCACGCATCAAAACCTGCCTCGTAAATCCCGCTGCTTGCTCCTCAAAGCTTTTCCTGTGTGCCTGCCCCCGATACTTAATTCGTTCAAAGGAGCCAGGTGCAGCAGATGAATTCGACGACGAGTCGTCGGCAGAAGAAGTTGCGCCAGTACTGGAAGCAGATTTGCCTTGATGTCCTCCTCCCTTCTTCGGAGGTGCTGGGACACAGTGTCCCTCGACCCACTGCTCGAAAGGAAAGACTACGCCAAATAACGCCCGACAATTGTGGTTTCGGCACAAATCTCGAATTTCGCGCAAGAGCGTTCGAGGCTGCTGGCAACGATCAAATACGTTGAAGCATGCGATCAAATCAAATTTAGAAGCTTCCAAATGACCTGCTACTTGACCACCGTTATTCAAGAGCTGGCGCTCAGGACTCTTCCCATATAACAAGCTCCCATCTCTTCCTCGACGACAGGAAGAACTTGATGAAGTGCAACTATTACTTGTAGTAAGACCAGCATGATGATCGTCAGCAACGGCATTGACTTCTTTACTACAACTAGTTGTACTAGTCGTTCGCCACAGCCGCGGTACCGCTTTCCGCGAAACAGAGCCACTTACGTGCACTTCGGAGAAAATGTTGGATTTACGTCTCATTCTTCGGGCCATCTGTGTGGAGACTTCCGTCGCCACAATCTTACCCCGAAACAGGGGTCGCAATTGCTCTGTAATGTACCCGCATCCGGCACCGATGTCAAGCAAATTGAGCATCCTCTCGTGCTTAACCTTTTTCTCCTCGTTGCTCAGAACGTCGCTGCAAGAGGACAAAGTGCGTTGCATTAGAGAGCGCAGACCCTTCAGCATGCCGTTTGCACTCGGAGCATTCCCTTCTTCTCCTAGAGGCATCAAAGGCCTGGCCTCTTGGCTTGTCGGTGATCCCTCCTGAGAAATCTCTTGTTCACATTCACGTGTAACACTTTTAGTTATAGTAATTACCGAGTTCTCCTCACCCACGTCGAAAAGCAAGCTCCGCAACTGGTGAGTGGAGAGAAGCCACATTTTGCCGGTGCCAAGCAGGCCATTCACGTCGGTGTTCGTCATGCAGCATCGAAGTAGACTGCGCAAAGAGTCTAGCAGCCACCGATCGAGACCCCACCGCCGATCGTAAGCTCGGTGACAGTCCTCCACGAACTTTCGCGTTGCGGCGTCATACTCGAATTGGAGCAGTTCGATACTGTCCTCTATGAAAGTTGCCTTCTGGCAATCGTCTTTCGTCGTCTGAGACGCTGATGCTTTTGCTGGACTAATATCACAACAGCTAAGTTCGGCCTTCCTTACTTGCTCAGTTTCTCGTACGTTCTTGCCGTTTGTAGGTCCTACGGTATCAACTGAGCGAACTGCTTCAATGGTAGACCCAGTGATGTTCTCAGAGTTACGCAGTGTCGGATGATTCTTTGGTTTCGGCGGTATGGGCTCTCCGAATACGTCAGGCGCGATGCGAAGACTCGGCTGTGCCGTTTCACCGAGTTCTTCACAAACAAGCTCCGCGCCTGCTGGTTCGGGAGAACTACTAATCAGATCTGATGACGTGCTACCGGTTGATGGACTTTTTTCCGCTAGTATTTCTGTGCTAGCGGTTGATGGACTTGTTCCCGCTAGTATACCGTTGACTTCTTTGACTGTAATGTTCTTGGGCGCTGCTTCTAGCTCGGAGTCCTGTGTAGTCGTCGACGACGACGCAGCTGTTCCATTCTCGGTCCTCGCGTCAGTTTGCGGACCAGGAGCCAGGCCTAAGCCACCATCTCGACCTCGGATGCGGATGGGCGAGACTGCTGCCGGTGCAAGCGGTTCAAGGTAGTCGAGAAAACAAGCTTTGCAGTATTTGTATTCCGCAACCTCATCAAAATGCTTGCGCACGCAGTTCGGGCACGCTCCACTCGACGCAGCCAGCGCAGTCGCCTCGGCTCCAACGTGCTGCAGGATTCGCTGACTTCGAGCGCTAGTAGCAACCATTCTGACGAACGAAATCCTAATAATTCTAATTCTAAAGCCTGGAAGCCAAGGATAATAACACTGAAGAAATAGTAGTTTACCCGTCGCTTTTAAAGTAAGTAACTTTTACAAAGCTCACGTATAACAAGAAAAAAGCAAGGGGCTCGCCTGTCAATCTGAAAAAAATAGTTTAACCTCCTGTCTCACTTACTCGACATCACCCGGAACAAAATAAGACACCTAATGCTTATAAGCATGCTGCGACAGAGTTCAAAAGAAGTAACCATGACCATCTGAATGGACATCAAGAGACCAAGATGTAACTTCTCGATGGATTCTACAATAGAAAGGCCTTGCTTCTCCATTCTACAACATACTGCTTCTCCATTCTATGCAAAACTGTGAAATACAAGATCCTCTTCTCCGAACTTTTCAGCGCGGATCCATCCTTTATTGATCTTCATCAGATCTTGTTCTCCGTCTTGTATTACCTCTGCCTCCTTCATTGACGAGACGTATCCATCTTCAATAGATCGTCGTGACTAAACCTAGTTACACAATGTTCTTGCTTTACGAGCTCTCCTTCGTTGTCGCTCTGTGTCGTACGCAGTACAGATGGTGCATTCGACAAACCTAACAGGGTGCTGTTTGGCACGTGATGTAATGCTTTATGATGAATACCATTTTCTTACAAAGTATACACTGGGAAGTGCGCGTCCATGAATGAGTCCTACTTTTTAAAAAACTGTTGTCCAGGATCATTATGACGAGGTGGATTGTCAGGTGATTGGGGTGATACGGAATTCTTGGGAAGATGGATGTAGTGTAAGTTAGGCTACGTCTCCCACACTGGAACATACGGAGAGTACTCCAGCGCCGTCTCTAGCTTTCTTTTCGCGACGAAAACCTCCACAGTAAATGCGATGCCTGCTAACTACCAAAGCGCATGCGGAAAGCACCACAGCAACGAGGACAGCACTTTTACCTTTTAGTGGGACTAGACTGACAATATACATTTCCGAGGATGATAGGGGACTGGGACTGCTAGGAGGTTAGTTGTCGGCCAAAAGCTTTCTTCGTCGCTCTTCCGTATCGTCAAGCTCCTTCAACAAAGGTTCCAGCTCCGCGTCTGAATATGTGAAAAGCAGCTTTTTACGACAGGAGAAGTAATAAATTTCATTTGACTTTGCTGACAGAAACAAAGAACCTAATCCACAGCACGTGAGAGAGTAGTCTCCAAATTGATTTCTAAGTTTAAGTACTTAGATCAAAATTTGAATAGTACTTACAGATCAAAAAAATAAATTACCGGTCATGAATTCCATCCCCTTAGTTCGCACAATCATGACGTCCATATTCTGCGCATGTGCTTCGCAAATTTCAAGAAGCGCTTTAATCGCCACTTTCTTCGTAGTAGCTTCGCTCATATCTTCTTCCCACTTCTTTTCTAAAAAATCAAGTGGCGTCTTGAAATTTTGCCCGATCGCGGCAGCCTTCCACCCAGTGTAAGTACCTACGGTCAATGTGCAGTCACTTGATCTTGTGTTCATCCACTCAAAAAATTAATATGACTTATCTACAACAGCGTAAGGAAGACGAAGATACAGGAGTTTGAATCTGTTCAAGATCAATAACCTGCATGAAGAAGGAACAGAAAAATTGCATGAACAGAAACTTCTCGTATATGAGAAATATCTTGAGTTCACAAAAGTGTACCGTTGGGATCTGTCTGGTAGAGTTCCGGTTCTCCGTCTCTGTTGAAACCCGCGACTAAAGTACCAATACCGAACGGTCTCGCACCACCCCGATGTGTGTACCTTCAGGATGAAAAGAATAAGAACATCATCAAAATTGAGTACTTACGTTTCAGTCCTATTTGCGGATGAAAATTCTTTGGTCGCATTCGTTACCAGTAGAATTCAATCAAATGTAAGCTCAAACCAAATCCTATCTTAGATCAGGGTGGGAAAATCAGGGCATCCCTAGTACTTTTGTTGCGTCGCTGCAAGGTACCGCGCAACGTACTCGACTGTTGGCGCATCTTCGTAGTTCAATCGATAACTCTGCAACTCCACTCGTGCTCTATTCACCAGAACTCGTGCATCTGCGTTCAAACCTGTTCCGAAGAAGCGCGGAGATATTATGAGGTTCGCAATTGAACATCCTCAACTCATTATAAATTTTCTAAAAGTACTAGATGAGAGAAGAACACATGAGCATTGTGAGGAAAAAGAGGGTGCGATCATCGTGTCTGATTGACATGTGGATAAGTATACAGGGTAAAACGAAGAGCATGCATCAGCCTTCCTGATTGGTTTCTACATATAGCAGCTACCAACACACAAAAAAAGTGAGAATAAATAAAGCCAAAAACAAGCTCACCTGCAAAAGCGAGTGCAATTTGTCCATCCAAATCGAGGATTTTTCGCACTGTTCTTGGATCCTGTAGTGTTGGTACTGCTTTCTTTTCTACCGCAAGAACCACGCAATCTTTACCTCGCACACCGATTGTGCAACTGCCACGCTTCACAGCTTCGTTTGCGTACTCTACCTGCTGCAACTGCCCATCGGGCGAGAAAACGGTAATCGCCCTGTCGTACGACATTCTTTCTACTATTGACAACTACGAGTAGATTGTACTACGTAATTCAGTGAAAAAGGTGATAACCTCAGGTACTGTAGGCGTAGGATTTAAACAATCTGTTCCTGATATTGCAGAATCGCTGGTCCTCCTGCTGTTCACCGATTCTTAGAGTGATATCCATGTACTTGATGTGGGACTTTTCTTATTAGCATATTCACAACCTGTGGCAGAGCTGATTTCAAAAATGAAAAAAGGAGCATAACAGGACACAACTAGGCCAAAGAGTGAAAAGAATTGCAAATGCAGCTTCTGCAAAATTTGTTTTCCTTCTCGGTAATGCACCTATCGTCATTACAACGCTTTCACATACAACGGACGGAATTTTTTGTCCTTAAGCACCAGTCATTCTTCCACCTCACACATTTCCATAAATGGATCGATTTTTTGTATCAGAAAGTTGCGCTGCGTAAGGCCTATTAGGTGTGGATGATAGTTTATCCATGCAGATTCAATTCAAAATTTGTTCGTCGAGCGCGAAGGCTCTTATCAAGAAGAATGGTTCAACACCTTGACGCATATGAGGCTTCTTCATCATTTCATTATCCTTGATGGAACACATCGGCGAGTCAAAAGGCAGACGGCGTTTTCTGCGACCATCATTCTTCTACCTCACTGACCAGGACCATGCTGTTTCGTATTCACTTGTTTTTAAGTCTTTGTTGCATTTCTTCATATGACTTGTGGGGAGCGAAGAGGTCCCGTGTAATTCATTCCTTTCCTGCAACAGTGCTTACGTCAATTTTCTGACTTAGATTCTACACAAATATGCACGAAGGTGCTGTACAAAATTTACATCCGGCTCGCTGTCTCATTTGGTCGGCGATTTTGGCGTCTTTTAAGAAAAAGTGAGTAGAAAAATGACTCAAAATATTTGATTTAGTGTTCGTAATTATGAATGTGACAAGAGAGTAGGTATGCCTGCGATGATGCCCAATACGATCGTGAATTCAATGATACTGTTACTTGTTCTCCTTACTGTGTAAGAAACTGCATGATGCAACTACGTATGAGAATATGCATGGTGCAAACTTTTGTAATGCAGAGTCGCATTTCTACACAAATGAAAACTACCTAGCCTTCTAAACAGGAAAAGGACCGCGATACAATTCACAATTACCTCCCTCGTTAAATTGGGGAGGATATGATCACACGACTGTGGTGGAGATCCTTTGAACCTTTCGCACCCGCGGAACCAAAAATCGTCTGGCTCTCCTTGCTAGCAGGTCACTACAACCTGAGCTCAGTAATAGTATCCAGAGCTGCCATTCGACCACCCCTGTCTGTCGCCGAAACCGCTTGAGAAACTCGTCGAAAATTTGTCCATTTCCTGCAAAGAAAGGTATGCTCGTTGTAGTGGTCGTTGAGAGAGCATTGTTCTCATAATATGACGATGACGATGAGAATCAGGAATATCACCACTTCTGACCCTCGTACAGAACTCTTAAAATCACAAAAAGGACTACTTCATGGTCAGCACGAAGAAGACAGTACCTTTTTCATCTTCGACTGCATTTCGTGCTGTTTGCGTTCCATCTCGACTTGATTACGCTTCATTTCCTCCTCTGCCTTCTTTTGCTGATACTCCATCATCATCGCCATGGTTTGCTGTTCCATCTGCTGCTTTTGCATGGCGATACCCTGCTGAAGCTGCATCACTTTCTCTTGACGCTGTTGATCCAACAACATTTCCTGGTTTTTGATTTTCGATTTGGATCAGCAGCGTCAAGAGAAAGTGATGAACATCCTCCTTTCAAGAACCCAGGATACGGTTTTTCATTTTTGATGTTCAACACGCTTCTCATTGACATACGAAGATGACAGATATGTGTCTACAATATTTTCTTGAATGAGCTGCCAATTATAGCGACTCCACTCATCTAGAATAGAGTCGCAGATGAATCTCTCAAACTCAAACGTAGAGCAAGAGCCACTTTTCCAACATAAAAATTACCTGTTGCTTCACTTCCATATCAATCTGCATAGCGTATTGAGATTTCTGCTGGGATGCCTGCTCTCGCATAAATTGCTTCTGGCTCTTCGTCTGCGCATCCAGCGCCTCAAGACCCTGCTTCATCTGCATTTCAGTAGGTAGATAACTTTTTGGTAGAATTCTAATGATAACATTAGTAAAGCAAATTGCTAGAAACGCCCGTACTATAAATATGCCATGTAAAAAAAGCAGCCAGCAACAGGATGTCGTGTACGATGTAGCAGACAGTGTCAGTCTATAAAAATTGCTAGTATTGTGCATAACGAAGGATAAGATTGGATGATGGGTATTCACGAAACAGATTTATTCGCTTATGATGAAGTTAGACTTAGAAAAGCTAATAAAACTTCTTCAAGATAGTTAGGTTAGGTTATGAATCCTGAAATAGAAAACACACATATGGTTCCTTACTTCATATTGAAATAGAAAGCACACATAGGAGCTTAAGTTAACATGGCAGACCTGTTGTTCCAACATTTGGTTGAAGCCATCCTTCTGCTTTTGGATTTGAGCAGGATCAGGCATGTCCATGCGCACGCCACGGCTGCTCCAATTCTGAGCGGACTGTTGTTGGGACGACGACATTTTCAGAAAATGATTTCCTTCTGTTTTGATAAGTAAGTAGTTAAATTCTAAGTAATTGTTTAGGTGGAACGAAAAGAACAATACTCCGTTTACTCGCTTGGTCGTGGATGAACTTTTCGAAATAACTATGCAGAGGAAATCAATTTTTATGACGAATTACAAAAAGGTGTCTTGTCGAAAGGGAATGGAGCCAGAGGGAGTTAGTTTCTGGTGAAAAGGAAATTCAACAAGAGTTGGTCAAAATGAAATGTCATGTGTGTGCCTCTGTTATGATTATTCGTGATCACCGTAGGTTTTTTTTTTTTTTGCGTTAGGACTATATGCTGCCACCCTTTCAACCAATTATTTACCCCATATTTATAAGATCATCCAAATTCAGATCGTAGGGACCAAATGGCAGCCATCTACGAGGACGACTCCCAAGTTCTTACACACAACATTTTGTAGTATGGCCATCTGAACATCTCAAAGATTGATGAGACAACAAGAAAACAATTGAACGAAATCTTTCTCTCGACCAAAAACGCTATCATCAAAAAAGACAAATCTTGCCAGGAATCCACAAACAAAAAAACCGATGCAATATTACCTTCTCGTTTTGATTGCTATCATCAGTAAAAAACTGACCTCTCTGGGACCGACAGAATGAGAACTTTGTCATAACAGCCGCGCGACAAAAATTACCACTCTTCGCTCGAAAAACTGGTTACTTTCCATCTGCTCTATTGAAACTCTACATCGTATGCCACAGTTATGGTCTCAGAAGGAACGAAAACCGATTTTAGAACAGCACCGAATGGCGGTGGTCTTCCGCTGGCACTCTTGTAAGTACGTCTAAAAAACCAAGTCTTTAATTCTGTTCATTTCATGCCTTCCTTAGAGAACCATAGTTATTCAGCCTGAAGACATAGTCATCTCCATCCTTTGTGCTACACGAGATGTAAAAATCAAACCTGCAACATAGAAATTTCGAGCGACAACATATCAAAAGCAAAACAAGCTCCTGATCTATAAGTAATAGCTTGGCTCAAATCAGCCATAAGGACACAAAGATGAAAAGCGAGGGCCTTAGTTCTTTGCCTAAAGGCACGTGGTTGATCGCAGCATCTAAAAGGCCTAGCAACAGAGCGTAAATCACTAATCTGAGAAAACCACCCACAATTCGTCCTGGCAAATGTCGCCCAAAAATACCTGTTCCCACCAGCAATGCGAAAAGAAACTCTGTCGGACTGATCGCCACTTCTCCAGTAATCAGAGCTACTTCCTGTTCTTTGTAGTTGCTCCCTGTCTTACTAGCACTACTAGTTTCACTAGACGCAGTTGCGCCTGTGAGATCATCCAGTTCAGCTGTTGACTGACGGTTTGAGGAGTCCTTTTCTGTAAGGCTGCGACGTCTCTGAGGCCCTGGTGTAGCGTTCCGACTGCGCGCCCGTTTGCTCTGCGCTCCTTTTGCGCGTCCTCGAGCATTGATTTCCTGCTTACTCGTGTTAGCCGCGCTCTTCATGGTCTTGGCTGAAACCGGCGACGAGGAAGATGACGTGCCCTTTTGCATTGCAGCCACCTTAAGCTTCGACGATAGAAAAGTAGTATCCTGTACAGATGACGCTGTACTAGATGATGCGACTACTTTCGAAGAAGATGCAGCAGCACCATCAGTGACAGCTGCTGCCTCTCCTACTTTTAGAGCTCACAAGAATTCATCTTCGACGTGAAGAGTCTCAGAATCCGAGAAGGAAACAGTTCAACTGAAACAAGTACTCTGTCAAGATGAGTCATTTTCAGCCTTAATATTTGATCTTCGCTGCTGTCAAGGTCCACGTCGCCGTCGCGTTCGACTGAAGAACGTCGTTTACCCACTAAAGTCTTCATGGCGGTTTGTAGTTGAGAGGTCAAACTTGCTGTCTTTCCAATGGAGCCAGAAGTAGTTGCTTGGCCTGTGAACGAGGACGTGCGCTTTCGGATGTCAAAGGGTGCGCTGTCACGAGAAGAGGAAGTCGAGACGTGGTCGGTGGATGAGGAAGAGGATCCCATTATGTCGGTGGTCGAACAAGAGTCTTCTAATGATGAATCATTTTTTGCAGCTCCCTTCGCCGTCTTTGTCTGCAACATGGTAGACGATTTAGTTCCCTTCGACGTCTTTGAGTGCATGGTGCTGGCTTCGAGGTTTGCAGGAGCACAAGCCCTGCTTGAAATGTTATCATCCTCAACTACTAAGGACGAGCCAGCATCTAGTACGTCCACATTGTCACTGGGACGCTTTGCATAGCGCTGTGCTCGGCTGATGACACCCGCACACTTCCGTCGCCAGCTCGCAGGCAGCAGCCAACTTCGGTGACCCAAGCAAAAAGCAAAGTACAAGGCGGTTCCGGCCACCTCGTAGACAGGACCGTGGTAGACGGATCCAACCAGAGGACCTCTCGATGTGCGGCATCCTGGCCGCGCTAGCGCCACACTGCGGAAAACGTCATGATCGAGCAGCTCTCGATTCACCCAAATCGTCAGTTTCTGGAGCGCCATTACCAAGGGAATGAACGAGAGCAGGAATAGGGTGCAACAGATTTCTTGGAATACGGTGAAAGACCGTCTTGCTTGTCCAATATAGGCCAACAAACTAACCACGCGGTGAAAAATCAGGGGCGCGCACAAACCAAAGGCGGCACCGACCACACAGTGGCTCACAAAGTGGGCGCTCGCGTAGGGCCGACCTGAGGTGAGGATCAGACTCAGAAGAAGGTAGAGTGACATTGCGCAACCAGCTTTGTAACGACACATACCTGTATGTACATCGAAAAAAACATTTGAATTAGTTATAAATAAGTATGCGGATGTCAGTACCATTACAACTGTAAGATTCATACTGCAAGATGGTATATAATTTAGTACTGATGATCATCGACATGACGCAAACCGAGACCGCTGCCAGCGCAATTTCTTCTCCGTTTGTTCGCTCATTCTCCTTGGCGGATGATATTTCAAACATCACATCACCGCCCTCGGCCACCTTTAGCTGGCCTTCCACACCAGAAGTCGATAGAGTACTATCTCCGTCTTCTTGACCAGCACTGGCACCGTGTGTTCCTTCGCTACGAGGATTAATGTCTACATCCTCTACATTGAAGTTTCTGCGAGGAAAGAAACAGAGTAGACCACTTAAAACAGCCGCCAGGACAGTGTTGTGGCCACTTGGAAAACCATAGCCAGATTCGCAGGTTGTGGTTGGGAACTGTTGCAAGTCCTCGGCGCCCTGCACCCAAAACGGGCGATCCCCTGCACACGACTGCTTCAGCAAATACTGCGCAACGTCGGCGCTCTGGGCCGACGCCAGCAGGCAGACGTGCAGGAAGCGAGAGCGACCTGGAAGATTTGACGTTTTGTTCGCACAGAACAAAAGAAGTGTGTTTTCTGTATCCGTCTTACAATATGCAAAATTCTAATCTCACGATGGACCTTTGAGAAGTTTCGTAAGAGCCGCTTTACGACGAGTCGCCAGTACATCCTCATCGCTTCCCTAATAAATAGTCCGATGAGCCTACGACCGGTAGTTACAAACAAACACGACAATCTAAATCCAAAATCGGAAAGTAGGTACCTCCGCAGAAAGCGACGAGCGGGACACTGAGGAATAGAAGTTTCGACGGGTGGAGAATGTCGCTGACGATATCGATGCCTTGGAAATAGGGCACGCTTTGGATCCAGCGCACCAGGGCAATCTCTAGCTCACACTGGCCAGGAAAATTAAGGAAAGGTCCAGTGGGCTGACACGTTTCCACAGTGGGGCGTCGCACTGACGACAGCATCTTGTTTCTTTCTTTTTTTTGCCAACTTGTTGTCTACAAATTCACAAACATTTAGCTTTTGGATTTGGATTTGGAGATTTCAGAAATTGTTTCTGGCCACCTATAGGGGCGCAGTACGTTTCGCAATCAACAAAAAAGCTGGAGACAGCATGAAGGACTCACCACAGCAAGCAGATAACTGAGGAACTAACTTAGAAAGAAAGCTAATGTTTCAAACAGACACCCCGTAGGGCGGAAGCTCAGGAAGTAGAAGTAAACACTCAAAGAAGACAACTAAAAGGAAGAAATTACTCAATATCACTTTAGTTTAACCTTAAGGAAGAAGAGACAGCAATCACTACTAGGAACAAGGAAGACAGTTCTTTATCACCACTAAGATTTCAGGACAAGTCAGTAAAGTAAATACAGAACAGAAAGTACAACTACGGGGCCGCTATTGCTTACGCTTAGGACAAGTGAGTATTTGAGTACTTGAGTTAACGAGTAAGACCAAAGCAGTCGCGGGGCGACTAACTTAGTAGAGACTACTATCAAATAAAGACTAGAAAAGTTGAAAAATAAGAAAGCTAAAGCTCTTTTATTTTTTATTGACGAACTTCCGTAAAGACAACACTAGTCTTGCTTTTCTCACAGAGTACAACACTAACTTTCTCACTTCCAAAAACGCTTTTTTTCGTTACTCACAGCCCTTATCTAGAATACAAGTCAACCACTGAGCTCGACTCTTTGCTGTACTTACTCAGCTGCTACACTCTAGCAGCTTCTACTTGGAGCGAGCAGCTTCTTTTCTCTTCTTCTTCTCGGCGTTAATGCGTCGCTTCTCTCTCCACGCAGCACGAGACGCTAAGAACGGCGCTGGGTCGGTCTTCATGCGCTCTAGTACCGCTCGAGCCTCGAGTAAAGCTTATGAATCGGGGATGTGGCCGGAACCTATGAATGTTCTTGTTCTAGTTTCTACTTGTCGTGATGGGGTGAACCATTTTGTATCAGAATTAGGAAAACGGTACTTAGTTGCACAAATACACAGATGGGTATTCTCGTTGCTTGTCCGTCTATCATGAGAAGGCAGAAACCACAGCGAAATGAGAAATTCTTAAGAAGCGGATGCGCGAATCAGCGATGGCTCGCCGAGGTACACCCGGAGCCGCCACGAAGATAGCTGAGTGTTTGTCACATGCAACGATGATCATGGCTTGCTAGAACTACAGAAGATAGAGTGATTAGATGTTGTCTTGAACAGACCAGGACAAGTACTGGCCTTGTATCATGATCATCATGATTTCTAGACGTACAACGTCGAAAACTGAACACTAGAAAACCCAATCACTAGAAAAGCCACGCGTGATTCTCGCGTCATTGGTGACTCGAGAGATTTATTTCGGTTAACGATGTCAGAATATGTCAGCTTAGGAATCTCATACCACGGACCCTTCAGTTCCCTCTCTGTCATCCACAGAGAGTCACCGTGTGGCCGCTTACCAAAAGCGAAGACAGGCCTTGTCAAACTGTTGAGTGTTGAAGAGGGGTCGTGCTGCAAAGAACTTGTACAAGACTCTTCTCGATGCTCATACACTCCGCCGTACTGGGTCTCACTGTCCTTGACTTCCTGTTTTATTCCTTGCGAAGATGTAGTGTTAGACGGGGACGGCGCGCTATCCACTGCAGACATTTGACCCGAGTTCGGCGCATTGATGTCATAAATCGACACTGCGTCACTTGCAGCACCACCAATGGAAAACGATGCTGGAGATGATGTTTGCGAATGTGGAAAATGCTCACCACTGACCGCGGGGTCTACTAGACCTGCCTTAGATGCCCGTCTTTTGCGCGTGGGAGGAGTGCATGTCAATTTCTGGGACGAGCTAGATGTAGCTGAAGCAGAAGAAGGACCATACGCACTGTTGACTCCCTTTCCCGCTACACCACGAAGAGCTGCAAAAAATGTGGCATTGTCCGAGATATTGTGGCTCATGATCACTTCCTCAAAGTCTCCAGGTGCTTGCTCAGATTGATGAGTTTTTGCACGTAAAAAATGAAAATTAGAGCTCTCCCTAATCCATCTCGGAGTCCAGGCCATCCTGAGACCGTTCTCCGCTTCAGAACGTCCTCAAGATGCTTCCGATGATGAATGAGGGGAAGCCTTAACAAAAGGCTCTATTTGCTTGTTCGTTCGATCCAAGGCAATTGCAGGAAAACAAACGTCGCGTGGAGATAAAGGTGATTGTCGCAGTGGCACAACAGGAATGTCCTCGTCGTCCTCTTCGTCTTCGACGAGAACATGATGGACAGGCACTAAACCTGAAGCACTTGGCAATTCCGCTTCTCGTTCAGTTTCCCCGATGACTATCGGACGTCCAGACTCAAGTCCAGAAGCAAATCGAAGACCTACTACAACTTCAGTACGCTTTATAGGCTCTGTCACGAGGAGGTCGTTTTTTTGAGGCGCCGCAACGATACGAGGCTCACCCTCACCCTTCGTCTTCGTGATTGTCCCCCCAGAACTACAAATTCCGAAAGCAGCAGTGCCACACTGCTGCATTCTTCCTTCCAGCACCACTTCTTGCGATTGCACAATTATGTTTCCCTGCTCCGGCTCTTGCAAATCCTGAAGCTGAAAATTACTGTAGCATCCATCGCAGCATTCCTCGCTTACCGCCTGGAAAGCTTCTCCATGTACAGCCTTATTTCGCTTTTCGAAATGTCGTACGACGATCTCGCGACTCGGAAACGCCAGCTCTCTCAAGCTCGTCTCGTTGTCGCTATTATACTCCACGTTCGGACATTGTTGACAAGAGGTAGCCTTTTCTCCTGTCAGCATGACAGATGTCCTCGTATGATTGTTCGACCTGTAGTCCATTTCAGGAGACAAAATCAATTCTGAGGGGCGATCCTCGCACTCAGAGACGTCACTAAATACGCAGGATTGCGATCCACTCTTTTCTGAATCGGCAGGCGCATCCTCCATCATTACACCATGGGCTTCGGCAGCTGTTCCAGAAACAAAAAACTCATTTTCGCCGTCCACTTGGGTAAACAAAGAATCCCACTGCTTGTTTTCGCTCAGAGAACTGGAAACTTGCGTCTCTTTCTGTGTCGGTTCTGTCGGCTCAAGGGTGCATAACTCATGTGCTTCCACGAAAATGTTTGCGTCCTTTCCATTTCCACGGGTTTGATGTTCATAGAACAGAAACTGCTTGTATTCACCCTGTAAAACTTCAGCTGTACTACTCTGCGGTCCTCCCGGATAAAGGTTCTTATGACCCCCAGCAGATGAACTGCCACCAAGGCTCTGCTTCAACAAAAGCTGCTGCGTCGGGTCGAACACCGCTGCGTTCAGATGCGGTATGAGAGCATCCAGGCTGCTTTCGTGCTTGCTCAACGAGAGTCCCGTAAACGTCGGTAACGTACCTTGAGCTTTTCGTGTCTTCTCAGGAACGGATCTATTCTTCTTGGTTTGCAAGTTCGGTGTAGCAAACCCCTTGTCTGTATCAGCAAACGTTATCGTGGGTGTATTGTCGACACTCTGTTTCCACGACTGCTTTTCTCCAATAAATTCCTCGTCTCCGACACTGCCGTCATTCTTTTCTGCAACCGGACTCATCGGTGCTTCTGCAATTGCATCTTCACCGACCGCACCATCTCGTGCGAAAGTTGAACCGGGAGCAGCACCTACACCTTTTCGCTGCTCTCCTCGTCCGTGATCCGAAATTATAGTACGTTTCTCCGCAAGAACATCCTCTTTATCATCGTCGAGCCCACTATCGTCGCCAAATGCCTCACCCAAAGCACGACACAGCTTCTCGAATGCGCCTTGTTCTTTAGTGGTCGTTGGAAGACGCGTTCCTGCACATGTTGCTCGCGCCTTCTCCCTAAATCGATTGAATTTCGAGGAAGCCTCCGCAAAAACTTCGCTTCTCTTGAAAAGCACTCGGTTCTCAGCATCTACCTCCACAGATGAAAACAACAACGAGCATTGTCTTTGTTGTTGTTTTTCTGTCACGCCTTCTTTATTTGCACGACCTTCGCAATTCTTTTCCTGTTCGCCTCCGTCTTCAAATAGGCCATATTCTAATTTTTTGGCGCGTCTGCCTTTTGGCAACACCAAGAGACCCTCGAGCATGCGGTCGATCTCTCGTACACGCGCACCGAAAGATCCTGGCTCAGGTTCCTCGATATCAAACACATCTGCTACGCGCTGGTAGTTGTTGTTTTCCTCGTTGACCTCGTTATCGCGCGACCGACTCTTAGTACTGTCGGCTATTTGATGCCGCCCATTGTCGTCCGAGCCATGTTCTGCATCGTCGCTTATGTCAGCTTCGTCGTCTGAGCCAAAGCGGTCGCCGTGCAAGTCAGCCTCATCACCGCTGCCAAAATTATCCTCATCTACTGCTGCTTCGCCGTCTAACCCAGAGCGCTCTTCGTATACCCCAGTTTTCTCGTCGTTCGTTTTCTCCTCCGTATCAATGTCAGTTTCTCTAATCACGCTTGTGCCTCCATTTTCCCCCACGTCTTCGTCGCTTGGTCCGACCAGCTCCCGGTCGTGCGCAATGTTTCTTGTCGTCGCGTCATAGTTTCGTGATGCCAGAGTGGCATCCCCGTCTTCCCGATCGTGAGTAACGGATGCCCGCTTATCAGTCATAGTGAACCAGATTGACAAGCCATATCTCGAGTAAAAACGCCATATTTCCGGCTGTGCAGCCTTAATTGAAAAAAGCTAAAATCATTTTCCTTTATGATGTGAAATCATTGGACAGGCTGGAGTTGCCGCACTCGCAAGTGTGAGCAGCTTCTGTAGTCGTTGAGAAAGAAACTAAAGTGGAATTATGGATATGACTAAACGAGGGAACACCAACCCTATGATCGGGCTTCATAATGATGCCATGTCTCTCTTACTACAGCCAAACGAGCATTCAGGCTGAGACCCAGCACAATCTCCTCTCCAACATAACACCAGGTTCCTCAGATATCAGGAAACCGAATTCCAATCCGTGTGGTTTTTTGACTGTCAAGTGTCAGTCATCACTTGAGTTCCTTTTCCAATAAAGATAGTACAACTCGGTAGGTCATTCTTCGTCGTACTTACAACAAGTAGTGGCCTCAGCCATTCTTCGATGTCGCGAATCTTTGACTTGTAACTTAGGTTACAAATCTTTGACGCTGCCGCCACGATGCTCTTTCTCTCGATTCTACCATCTTCTTGTGGTACAACCTTCTTGTTATATCAATCTATTCATCGCACCTCTTAATCTTCTTTCCTTGAACTGGAGAGTTGCGCTACGCGTCAAACAATTGTGTACATTTTATGACAGTTGAGAGGAGAAAATATCAGCTATTACACTAGGAATTTTACTCGTGACCGACATCGAAACTTCAAGGAAGTCGAATGTGCGGGATCGGTACATTACTACTCAATCAAAATACATTCAAAAACGATTGAAGACAAAAAACAGATCAACATGCATGTAGATATTGGTATTCACATGAACAAGAGTTGTCTGACGTGAATTTGTACAACACTCGAAACATCATATTGACATGTGTTCTCATCATATGAACATCAAGTTTTTACTCAAAGACAACGTTGGAATGTGTGTCAGAATTGCAACTACGCCTTTCAGGTGCATCCACAGGTCGCTTTTCACTTTCTGGACTTCTAACACATACAGAAGGGAATCGAACATTTTCTTCGCAACTTTGAGTACGAAAACAATAATTATGAGTCTTAAATGCAGCTTTTAGTTCATCTTCATCTTTCACTTCGCAGTTCCAAGCATTGCGTAGATTTGGTGGATTCTTTTTGATACATCGTCGATTATATGATCGTCTTCACCCTCTTCTTCGTGCTGACTGCTGCACGCCGTACTGCGGGAACTTCGACTTGTCTTGTCACCTGCATTGCTAGCTCGGCCCATTTTCTTGTTGCGGCCACTTTTCGAACGTGATCGCGCAATGCTACCTCCTGATGAAGACAGCAGCTCGTTTGTTGCCTCTGTGTTTGTTGAGTCTGCACGTCCAGTGGCTGGCACTGCAGTACCCTTTGCGAAACGCGCGTAATGCGCCTTCCACCCCCAAGTGGCTGGCACGGCTTGTTGCGTCTTCAGCATCTCGACTCGGAGGCGGTAGGCGTCGCTCGCTAGCAGTTCCGCAATCTTCTGTTCTGTGTAGGATCGATGCTCAGAATGACTTAAATCCCACGTTTTCTTACGGTTTTCGACCTTCGGCCGCCGCTCGTAGTCAAAAACATGCAGCCTGATTAAGTCGGTAAACGACGCTGGTACTGAAACCAACTCTCGCAGCAGTGCTAGCACACGCGATAAAGTGCGGGCACAAACCACTCGAGAACCATATCCGACCGAGACGTTGACTTCTTCGCCATCATCACCAAATGCTACGTTCTTTCCATTAGCTAGAACACCTACCTCCAAATTGTGGCGCACCGGACCGGCATCAAACAAAAGCTCCTCATCATCGGATTCGTCGACATTCGTATTGAAAGAACTAATGCTACTACTAGTAGTAGTACTCACACCACCTCCTCCTGCTCTTCTATTCGAGTGCACGAAAAATCGCTTTCCAAACACAGACCCGCAAATTGGATCAATGACGAAAGGCAGTAGCAATCGTTGCACCAGCAAGGCGTCCACCAGGATAAGCAGTTGTGGTACGGCGAACCACAGAAAAGCGATGAGCAACCCGTACAGGAGGTAGTCAATGTTGGAACCAAAGAATTCAACGAGCACGTAGCTGCCAACTCCGCACCACGTGCTAGAAGTCTGACTGCCTCCCGCAAGCGGAATTTTGCTCGACAATCCATGAAGATCCCCTGCTGCTTTTCCGGTGTTCTCCGACATCGACTGTGCCGCAAGCAGCATTGTGCAAAGCCGTTCCGCAATCGTGTGGAACCATTCGCGAGCCTCGTCTGCAATGGGCGTCCATACTCGGCGGAAGCTGCGGTTGCTGAGCAGCAAGCAGGGTGCAAGACACGTGATGCTGCATCGAAGTCCGTAAAAACTGTGCCGCAGGGCACCCACCGAGAAATTGCGCACCATCTGCGTCGTCGATTTGCCACTCAATATTTTGTACAGGCATGCGAGAAGAATTAAGCCAGCAACAAAGACAAGACGCTCGCGAGTTGCAAGTATACTGGAGCTCACCAAGAAGGTCGCATTTCGCACGGTGCTCGCTGTTTCGTTGGGCAGCTGGATGAGCACAAACACACCAGCCCGGAAAATGAACGATACAGCCTGCCAAATCGGTCCTCCCACTAGCTTCTTCCGCGTCGCTTCAACTAAAGCAACAGCACGTTTTCGTAATGCCTCGTCGTGTGGACACCAGTTCAAAAAAGTGTCCTCCAAAGAAAAAGCGTCTACAGTTGATCCACTCGGGTTACTAGGGCCGTCCAATCCCATGCCGGTACGCACTCGGTCTTCTAATTCTTTTTCCAGTAGCGCGAAGCGGGCCCGACAAACCCTGGTGCGAACAGAAGCTTCACGGAAAAAGAAGTCGTCCAAATTGCGCTCCTTGCTCTGCAACCACTCTACGGTTTGCGAGAGCATCTGACGAAATCCCGCACCATCGAGAAGTCCACCTTCCTGCAGGCGCAAAGGCGGCAAGAGCTCTGCGTTGTCACCTGGGGGACAGACAATTTTTGATGTAGGAGACAGAGTTTTAGATTAATTAAATAGGTTCTTTGCACGACATCAAAGTCAGAACTTGCTTAGAAAGTCACGTAATGAAAACCTCTACTAAGCTTTCACCGAATGTTCAAGTACTGTAAGCGTCTAGTCTTAGTTGCAGAATAACAAATACCAAAAGGAACCTAGTACCTCCAAACAGGCTTGACTCCAACGTGTCATCATGTGCTCCTCCCACACCACTCAACAAGTCCACCATGAGTTTGCGTGCTTGCTGTAAGACTAGTGTCCCGTTTTCGACGTCAATTTCTGGAAGCTCCAACACGCGAGAAGAGGCTACATCCCACCTTTCAGTGCCCAGTACCGCACGAAACTCGTCGACGCGTGTCGTATACTGCTTTGGAAGTCGCAGCGGATGTCGTATGACGAAAGTAGTTGCTGGAAGGAACGCTGAATCCCGACGTAGGGCTTTGCCCGTGAAAGCGACACGATCAAAAAACTCCAACTTTGATGCCTCGACGTGACGATCTAGGAAAAAAAGAGATCGACTTGAAAACCGGGCTAGAATCGCTGTCAGTTGGTCCGCTAGTGCCACTTCCGTTTCGGAGCCCTTGTCGCTGCCTTGTAAATCCAAGAGCAAAAGTGTACCGCGTGATGGTAGTAAGTTCCGTAATGACACATCAGCTTGAAGATCTTCAAACCCATGATGACTAGTACTGCTTGTCGACAAAGTACTGCCTGTCCCCTCCAATCGTTGAGGTAGATGCTCCTCGACGATTTCGAATACCTGTTCTTGTGCTTCTTGTCTACTGTTCGTAACGTTTGCTAGATCCACTGCTAACGCCCACGCACCCTCTGTACAGCTCTCGCTTGTGTCGGAAACGGCAAAAATACTTTCTAGTGGTGTTCCTGTGCCAGTATTCGAAGTAAGGAGACTTTTGGCAATCTGACCCAGCCAGAAACTCTTGCCGACGCGTGCGGGTCCAATAGCGGACAAAGCGTAGATAGGACCTGGGAGTCCTTCGATCGCGCGCAATGCCACCGCGTTCAACTGTGGTAAGCCGTTCTTTGGAGGGTTCTTGTCTATTTGTAGTTGTTGGCCGTCCACTATCTCTATCGTTTCCGTGTCGTTCTCTACGCGAGCTTTCGTTTCGTCTTCCTCCAGCCCAGGAGAAGAAGCAGGAGGTCCATGATTGTCGTCGGAAGGCACAAAAAGGCGAAGAGGGCGGCGATACAACTCAGGCACATACAACTCGTGCGCGGATGGATTCGACTGCAGCAACAGCGGCGCGAGAAAGCAGCACCACAAGAAACGAGGTCTCGGAAGTAACATTCTTGTCATCTTGTTTTTCGAAAAAGATCTGAATCACTGAACTGTACAATCACGTACCCAGGTCGAAGAGAAAATGATCTAGGTGAGTGGATACCTACAATCAAAGTGCCGATCTTAACAGGTGTAACGACCAAAAAGATCATAAAAGCAAAAGTTTACCATTGAAGCATGGGAAAAGGGCCTCGGGGAAAAAACGTCCTGTCATTTGATTGATGCTTTTTTGATTTGATGAAGACACGGTCATCGTGTTATAAATTCAGCAAATCTAGACTTCATGTCAAGCGGTAACCAACGAAGCTACTTGGGACAAAACAAATAAGAAATAGGATCGCCGATTCGAGAGGAAAAAAATTGCATTTCATTGTCGTAGCTTGAACACATCTGTTTGCGTTGATCATATCTTATTCTTTTGTGTTACAGACAAAACACCAATGGACCATTTTATGAAAAGGACCATGTGCCACCATTCCGATTCGCACTATCACAGATTGATGCGAAAATGGCAAGATTTCGTTTTTTGTTGGACGGGCTTTTTGTAAGAAAGTCGTTGTAGATCGATTGAACTCCTGCGGGAACACATCGGTAGCAATGCTACTTCATGAAATAAACAGCGACAGCAGGAGTTGCAGCTGTGGCACCTCCCGGCTTAATCGTATTTTGTCTCGTTTGCGATATCCCCAATTTTCTGATGAGACAGGCCCCGGTGAATATGACTCGAGCATTCCAAGTGGAAGATCCACAAGCAGTTATGCCTGGCTATAGATCTTGATAGAATTACATAGCACATCTTCCCATGACAACATGTGGAACTTGTTCTGGCGCTAGTCGAGCATTATGACAAGAGAACAGCCTCTAGGAAGCGTTCATCTCCTGTGTTTCTAGGTTAGATTATATGGTGACCGCCGCCTCTACGATAATCAAAAATAATTCTTCCTCCAAGAATTATTTCCTAACCGGAGACATAAAATAAATTTCCTTACAGAAAAGTCAGAAGCGTCTATAGGATGGTACACAGGCCTCCTGTATTGGCATTGAAATAAGCAGAGTGCAGTAGAATCAGCCAATACTTGCGATCGCGATATTACTGTCCTGGTCTGTTCTACGAAGACGATCTGCGCGTGTTCATGTTTAAGCCCTCCCAGATCGGCTGGTAACAACCGAAAAGAACAATCGTATATACAGGTTATTCCATGAAGATTACATTTTCCCGAGCGCGGTTGTTTCCAAGTTTGAATACAGGTGAATTAATTAGCCGAATCAATACATGATTAGTTTTGATCTCTATATGTTAGTCGCGGATTAGATTAGCATTTTGGTTTATGATTGTTCTAGTACGAGTACTAGCTATGATTTCTCCTTTTGCGTTGAAGAACTAAATAAAATTTTTGGACAACTTCTACACCGGCATCTGGCTTGGGTTGCAACGCCCGTGCTCATTCGCGTACCACGAGGGCGTGTCGTCGTAAGTATTTCTGCGTAACAAGGCGTGGTTTCGGCGGACGGGCAATTATGGTGACGTTTATTTTTCTCCTTTGATCACTTTCGTCCTTCACGAGTCCTCTCGCGACATAAAAGTTCGTTTGCTCGTTTTCTCGATTACCACGCCTTTTCAGCCATGTGCCAACATAAGTCCACCCAAGTTGTTATTTCCACTTCCTAAAATATTTCATTGCGATCCTCGATTTATTTCTTTCTATTCGTCATAAACACCTAAATCAATTATCGAGCATGAGTATTACTTCACAGGAACTGCTAGAACATTTTCTTATCCCAGCAAATCATTTTGTTATCTAGCATTTATCCTTACACTTATACAGTATGAATATGGTCAAATAACGACAGTTAATATGGATCAAGAATATCTGGTCTGAACGAAATTAGGCTTAGTCCATTATAAAGTAGTAATAGTCCACTACGCAGTAATACAATAGACATCTAAATTTTCTTTTCCTTGACTATTTTTTGTCGTTTTTACTGTCCGTGGTGCAAGAATGCGTATGGCGACTGGATAAGGCCGACCTGCAAAGTGCGTGGCGCGGAGTCGAAGATTTGCGCGAATTTCTCCACCGGTGGCATGCGCACACGCGGAGTCGGCAAGTCGGCGGGGGCGACAATGTGATCAATGTGCACGTCCGCCTTGGATCGTCGCTGCTGGAACTGAGAATACTGCTCGTTCAAGTTCGAGTGATGATCATCGGTGTGCTTCGCGCGGTTCTCATGATGCGCCGACAGACGCGTGTGGAACGCGTCGTTTTCGAACTCCAATTCGTATTGGTGAATCTGATGGTAAATCGAAGTAAAGTTCAGTCGCGTAATAATATTAGAGATGAGTTACAGTTTTTTTGACAAGCAACAAGAGAGATCCTCGAGAAACCTCCAAAGTAGAGTTGAGTTACTTATGCATAGGCAAGGTACCATTTTCTCGATTTGATTTTTCTTTTGCGCAGCTGCTTGTCGTAAGACAGCCTTTTCGTGCTCCCCTGCCTGCCGCATCACAAATGCCTGCTTTTGGATTTCCATGTCAACCTGGGCGCAAAAGTTCTTCTTGCGTGCTTCTGCCTTGGCTGCATCGTTCTTAATCGTTGCCTCAACGCGTGTGTCGACTCCCTTCTGTGCCTGTGGAGGTGGGCAGCGGCAGGGACGTTGGTGTTCAGATGATGTGACATCAAAATTCTGTTGCAATACGAACTTCCCTAAGAAATAATTATCCATGTCATTGAACAATAAAAAACCTGAAGCTTTCTCCTTCTCGTGCATCAAATTGGATTGTGTTGTAATCTGTACCATAGTGACTTGCTCCTCGATCATCTTCAATTCCTGATCCTTGAGCTTGGCGAGCTCACTAGCCGACTGCGGCTTTGCTGGTCCGTTAGCGGCAGACATTTTGATGGCTTGAAAGTCTTTATTCAAAAACTCTCTTATTTAATGTCAAGTGGAACACGTGGGGGTCTAGTAGCTGTAGCGCTGCTAAAGTACAACGGGTCTTTGACTGTGTGAAGTAGTTTTTTATTTAAGTCGTTTCTTACGATCGTAGTACGATGAAAAGAGCACTATGGGCTCGGTCGTTATAGCTCAGGAGAAAATGTGTTTCGGGCGGAAACAAACACAATTATGAACTGTTGGGAGTTGCCGGAAAGTAAGTGGACGGAGAGGTAAAAAAAGTATCATGATGAGAAATAAATTATTGTAAGTGTACAAGATAGCACTCATCTCAACATGTCACAGAGAGTATCACAAAAAGCAACTCACAGACACGTATACTTCTCACTCACGTGGGTGAAAAGAAAAAGTATCGCTCTCCTCTTCGTTCACTCCGGCACAGAAAAGAAAATCTCGCAAGACAGACAGACGTGTCGCCAATTGAACAGCGCCGTGCTAAAGTTCACAGCTCTCGTCGTGACATAAATTTTTTCCCGCGTAGACAGAAGGCTACTACCAGTGTCGCACTTTCTCTCGCCAGACACAATCTCTCGTTTCGGGAGAAAGACAGTTTGTAGATCGCAGCTCCTTGTCACAGAAATGGCACTCGCAACTTTGATTAATGTACCCGCATGCACAGAAAGAAATTGAGGTAGAATGCTCCGCCGACGCGCGGAAGAGAGCTCGCTTTCTCATGTTGTTTCCCTGTACAACGACAAACATGAATAAGACTGCGGCATATCGGCAGAAGAAAGCCCTCGCAGTCTGTGGACAGAAAAATAGTTCGTTGCTGAGCAGTCTCATTGGCCTTAGAATTCAAGAAACGCCTCTTCTTTATAAAAATGAAAATATTCTTTGTATCTTGTGCAATTGCACCGACTCAGCTGCAGCGTACGTCCGTAGAGGTCATTTTTTGTGAGAGAGAGTAAATTATAAAGCCCTAAGGTTTTGATTGGGATGAAAGAGAGCAACAGCAAGAAAAGGCACTACGGGACTCTAAAGGGAATTAGTGGACAATACTAGGGAGTGTTGCCGGTGTGGAAAATCTTACTACTAGTTCCTCGTATTGTGTTAACAGGATAGCGCTTCTCCTAAAAAAAGGAGAAAGGTTAGGGCAGGGGAAAGCCTATGAGCACCTCCTGCAGGCTTTCCTCCCGTCTCCTGGTCATAGCGTCCAAATACGACCGTTAAGGAGGACCCTAATACCTGGACAAGGAACCAGCACACCGAATTTTAGTGACAGAAATCCTGAAAACACTCTCACCGATGAAGAACCGACTGCGCGGGGCGAATGACTGGAAAAATCGAGAAAAGTTGCCTTTAGTTTTAAGGCACAACAAACCCCGCAAAACCTAAAAAGGTAGGTAGCCGTTTGGCTTAGGTCGCCCCCTATAGCGTCCTGCGGGAACCTAATGGAGAAAAGTGGCAGGCCGTTGTCCCCCGTAGTTTTCACCGAAGTGGCGACTTTCTCGCCTCTGTCCGACGCCTGTAGCGAGAAAGCCGGGACTTTGAAGGCAGTTCGCGAGCTCCGCGCGTGCTCTGGGCTCGCCTGTTTGGTTTGAGGCCGGGCGGGCTCTCGTCGGGTTTGGTCGGTTTGCGTTGGGGCTTGGTTTGGGCAAGCGCCTGGGCCGAGGCTGGGCGAGCGGGGCCCGGGGTGGGTTTGGTCTGCGTTTTGTTTGGGTTTGGTTGAAATGAGCCCGGTCCGTGTTTAGGCCTGGCCCGGGTTTGGGTTCGGTTTGCGTTTGGTTTGGGTTTGTTCCCGGTTCGGTCTGGGTTTGGGCTCGGGTTTGGCTTTGGGCTCGGGTTTGGCTTTGGGCTCGGGTTTGGCTTTGGGCTCGGGTTTGGCTTTGGGCTCGGGTTTGGCTTTGGGCTCGGGTTTGGCTTTGGGCTCGGGTTTGGCTTTGGGCTCGGGTTTGGCTTTGGGCTTGGGTTTGGTTTGGGTTTGGGGGGGGGGGGGCCTGGTTTGGGCCGGGTTTGGGCCGGGTTTGGGCCGGGTTTGGGCCTGGTTTGGGCCTGGTTTGGGTCTGGTTTGGGTCTGGTTTGGGTCTGGTTTGGGTCTGGTTTGGTCCGGGTTTGGTCCGGGTTTGGTCCGGGTTTGGTCCGGGTTTGGTCCGGGTTTGGTTCGGGTTTGGTTCGGGTTTGGCTCGGGTTTGGTTCGGGTTCGGGTTTAGGTTTGTGCTTCAATTTGGCCCGTGTTTGGTTTGGTTTGGTTTGGGTTTGGGTTTGGGTTTGGTTCGAGTTCGGTTTGGGGGGGGGCTCGGATCAAGCAGAGACAAGGAGGAAGGGCAACCCTATCCAGCTCCCTGCGACTTTGTAACTTGAAAGCAGCAGCCTGGGTCTTGTTTGGGTTTGGGTCTGGTTTGCTTCTAGCGCGATTAGAAACCACGCACGCGCTCGCGAGTTTGCCTCTTTCCCGTTTTTTAAGTTTTTTGAGTTGTTAACATTTTTGGAATTTCTAGAGGCGTAGAGGCTCACACTGCGAAGAGCTCGAGCTTCAAAAAATTCAAGCAAATCGCTGCAAAAATTCACAAAAGTGGAAGCTTTTCCAAACCGACCAGCTACCCCAACCACCAAGAAAAAAAAAGGCAGCGAAAGCAGTCCCCGCTTTCTTTTTTTTTGGCTCGGGGTGGCTACACGGCAAAAAAAAGCAGATCAGTGGGAATTTTTTCGCCAAGATTGCTCTTTTTGGAGTAGGCGACGAGAAAGATGCAAAGCCGTCAAGTTTGTTATTTTTTTCCCTCGTCTGCACTGGAAAAAATTCTGGGGAGTGCTGATTTCCAATCAAAAAGATCCCCGGACGTTGCTAAGTTGTTCCATTTTTTTCTAGTCAGCACTCGCAAAAAATCGCAGGGCGCTGATTTCCAATCAAAAAGATGCCAGAAAGTTGCTAGCTTGTTGCTTTTTTTTCTTGGCTGCACTCGTAAAAAATCCACAGGGTGCCGGTTTCAGGTTCGAAAGTCATCACGAAGCTACTACCATTGCCAAGCGAATAAGAGCCATTTTCCCCTTTAAAAGTGGGGCTTTTTCGATGATTTGCTTTTTCCTGCCTAGTGAATAAATTTCGTTGCGTGTTTTTCGCAGGTGCAAAAAAGTTGGAGGCAATCGCCACGCTGTGAAGGATTTGGCGGGTTTTTGGACTCTAAATTTCTCCTACCTTGTCGCCATTTGCTTCCGAGTGTTTCTCGTGTTTTTTGCTCTTTGGGATGTTTTTCGGGACCTCTAAAATTCGTATGCTTATGGTGTTTGGCGAGGGTGGCTGCCCTCAATCACCATAAGCATACGAACGCGCAGCCACCGCCTTGGCCCGGGTGGCTGGGCTGGTGGCTACCCCTATTCAGCACTGGCATGCAAACGCGCAGCCACCCAGCCACCATTTTTATTAAGGAGTTTCTTTTTTCTTTTCTTATAAAAAAGTGGTGGCTGGGTGGCTGCGCGTTTGCATGTCAGTGCTGAATAGGGGTAGCCACCAGCCCAGCCACCCGGGTCAAGGCGGTGGCTGCGCGTTCGTATGCCTATGGTGATTGAGGGCAGCCACCGTCCCCAAACACCATAAGTAGCGCCGTTTTAGCAAAGGCAAAAAAAGCGTGGGCCACACTTGGGGAGCAGGCTGCTCCCTTAGGCCCTAGCCATTCCGACGCATTTGCTTGCGCTCAAGTAGGAGCCAAGTGCGGCAAACTTGTACACGCTGCAGCTTGGGAGCCTCTTCGCCATGAAGAAACATCCGCAAGCGCGCACCTGGCGGGCCTGTGTGGCTTTTTTTTTGCCATTTATCTCAAACTCGTGGGGCTGAGTTGCTGCGCCAATGGCCATCGCGTTCGGGCCTCCTCCACCCGGATAGGCCCTCTAGCGCCGATGGGTCACGTGCCTAGCACGCATCACCATGGGCAGCATGAAAATGGTGAAAGTGTCCGCGTCTTTCTGTACTTAGTCAAGAATAGACTACTTCGGATTTCCCGTTACTGTAATGCAGTAAATTAGGTAAAGTTGGACTATCTCCCAGTAGGTGCACTACCCCAGAGACCTGCAAGTAGTAATAGTTCGCTTCGCCTTCAACAACCTCAAGAACAATCTACTACCACAATGGCTGTCGATCGTTATGATGCAACATATTGGCGTCAGCGCTATTGGGCCAGCAGGCGCGATTTTGAGGAGCAAATCAGTAACTTGCAGACCAACATCAACAACTTAGAACTAATAAGTCAGGCTTTCGACCGCAACAGAGATGCGCTCCTTGAGAAAAACAGGGCGTTGGAGTTGGTCAAAGATCTATTACATGAAGAGATTAAGAAGGTTACGGAGATGCGCGCGGATATGCAGGGAAGCATGGGGATAGCTCGTCGCCAAGTTCATGATAACTGGATGCTTATGCGTAATATTCACAATCAACAAAGTGAAGACTTATGCCGCAAGAAGAAACAACTGCAGAAGGAAGTGGAAGATCTCCAGATTGAGAAGAAGGGAATGGAAGAGCAGCTCCTCCTAGAAGAAGAAGAAAAGAAGAAATTACTAATCAACTGCCACCAACAACACGAGCACAAACGAGGATACAGACTAGTTTTTTTTCTCCTCCTCCTTCTCAATATCATCGGCCACTGCTTCATCAGCGAAGTTGATGGTATCATAAAGTACAAACTTTCTCTGTATTATTTATCTTCAACATTCACACTCTCTTACCTACTTGTTTCGAATTTCTGCTGAACCATGCACATTCTTCCCAAATTCTCAGGGTCTCAAGCCTTCGAAACGACTCCACAAAAGCGCATGCTGACAAACGACGAGGACACTTTTACTGGTGAGAAGAAGGCAAAGAAGAGTGACACTTACAATACTACGGAGCAATCGCAAGCAGCTGGCACTTCCGCTTCTTCGAGCACTGACACGACGAAACTCGTCCTTAAAGAAAAAGCCGATCTCTTGGATGATGACTCTTAAGGCTTTTTTTTTTATCATTCTTCCGACACAGCAACAATTCGCATATTCTATTCAGGATGACTCCTAGATATTGTTTGATGGGTGCCTGGTTTTATTCTCTGTGATCGCGTGCCTACTCCTCTAATCATGAAATCACGCGCACCCGGCAGTTACCACAGGACTGGTTATTGGCGAAGGAAGCAAGAGCAACCCTACATCCAGTGGCAATCTGAAGGGAACCAAAAACGCCCCAACGAATCGAGATTCGAAAGATGGCAAAGGCGCCTCAAAGGGAAAAGGGCCTAGTAATAATAGAGCGTCGAAGGATACCAAGCCGCAGTAGATATGACGCCTCGCTTCACTACTCATTCCCTTTTACTCGGATTCTACATTTTTTGGTGATAGCATAAGTAATGTCTTCGCTTGCTCATAATTAGTGATAACGCTTTCGAAATTCCTTGCGGTACTTATTCTACGTCTTAGAAACTAAAATATTGTCTATACTGATGCACCTTTGATATTCAAATCATATCGTGGCGCCTTCAGTTATTTCAGACATTGAGCCACAAGTATTGTCCCTCGGTCGTCGTTTTTCGTTACTAGTAGTAATCACAAGCGTCGAAATGTGGCGTAAATACTTTTGAATTGAAAGCGTGCCTCCATCCATCGAAATTGATGATATATAGTCGCTCTATCGTGATGTGTGAGAGCATTTGCTTTTCCTGCACCTGACTCTACGAGAGAGGTTTCTGTAAAGTTGATGCTTCTGAACCCGCGTGAATAAATTATACGAATAGTGGAGCTTCTATCAAGATGCTCCCCTTCGGACAAAAATGGAGTGTTTCGTGCTTGTGGGGGTGCAAATATATCAACGAATGTCTATTTTTTAGATACATACGAGAATGTGACGAGAGTCAATAGAGAAGGCCTCTCTAGAGCCAGACTCGACTTTAACGTTTCTCGTGCATGATGATTTATTTAAATATTAAAATAAACACATCGATCGTCTCGAGACTGTATTTGTTGGAATTTGAAGTGACAGCAACCTTTTAGCAAGAAGCAACGCTCCATCCCCACTTCGTCTATTTATCTGCTGTCTCCTCCTTTATTACATTTTCCGATAGTGTATTCTAAAACAAATTCTGGTCCTCGAGCATCGATCTACTTTCCTTTCCTCATCTCTCTGGCGTACTCGAACGAGAAAAAATGGCTGACTCATCTGCAAGCTCCACCCCTGTGGTTGCGAAGGGAGTGGGGAAGGGAGTGGCCATGAATCAGAATAGACGCGGCCAAGGAAGTATCATGGCACAAAAGGGCAAAGGAAAGGGCCACAGATCGGCGAGTACTGGTAATGGTTCTGCCAGTACCAGACCTAGACGCGGAACTACGTCTTCATCATCTAGTAGTAATTCTGTAAGGAAAGGCTGCATTGTTATTGAAACAAAGACAACAACAAGCAAGACGAACCTTGCTTCCGTGAATGCAGTAGATCAACTAGATACGAAAATAAAATCAATTAAAATATCTATCTATGAATAGAAGCAGTACCACTCGGAGCATCTACTTAGTTTTCTTTTTCTAAGACTCCATGTGATGCCGTACCAGACCCGAGCTCTTACTCTGTGCGGGTAGAAAGTCGAGATTTATGACTCCTCTCGTACATATCACTATTCTCCGTAAAGATAAAATACGACCACGAGCCGCTCTGTTGAATAATTGATGATGAATTTCTTCCATTGAGAAATTTTCAAATGCTACGCTTGGTCACTGAAAGCATCACAATATTCTGCACCTAACTCTTCGAAATAGGTTTCTGAATTTCTGATGCTTCTGAACCCGTGGAAAACCAACAAGGATATGAGGAAAGAATATAGATCTTCGAAAGAAGTGTGTTCATGTACTAGCATGCAACAACATTGGAGCGACGAGCGCTCACCTGATCTGACATCTCTGTAAAGTAACCATTCTGTTTAGCATGCAACAACATTGGAGAGACGAGCGCTGACCTGACGCCACACCTCTGTCTAGTAACCATTCTGATTTATTACAGCTCTTGTCCATGGTCAACGAGAGTCTCACGCAGTGCCGACCTGACAGCTGCGAGCCCATCTGTCATCCATGCCTCTGTAGCGAGTGTCTGTAGCCTGTGTACATTTATCATCCTTTCTGATTTTCTTCATATGTAAATCAGCTCTCTCGCATCTCCACAGCCCAGCACCCATATTAATCTTTTTTCTCATTGTTGCCTCTCACTAATCATACCTCATCATTATTGCTTCACATTTTTAGTACCTGACTCATCATTATTGCTTCACATTAAGAGACAACTTTATCATTATTGCTTCACATTGGAATATACTTCATCGTGCTTGTTTCCCAGTAAGACATACTTCATCATGATTGAATCCAACTAAGACAAGTACAAACTTC